CACGGGTCAGCGCATGACGCGACAAGACTACATCGACCTCTGCGGATCAGACCCTCTCAAGGGTAAGAATCCGGATACTGACGGACCGAAGGACAGCTCATATCTCTGCCCAGAGTCATGGCTGACACTATCAGAGCTGTCTCCGTCTCCAGTGTTGTGCGAGTGGAACGGGCACGTCGAGGGAGAACAACCTCCAGCGGAGGATTTTGAGACTTTTGTGGAAATCTTCTCAACAGAAGCCACAACCGACCTCGACGAGATGTGGTGTACAAAAGGACCTTACAAGGTCGTCACCATCGCCATCGTTCACTTCAACTCGTACATGACACACAAAGAACATCAAAGACGTGAACACGTCAATGCCTTCCTGGACGAGGTCCTTCCATTCAAACCAGATATCATTGCTGGGGACCTCAACAACATCGCAAGCAGACTCACCCTAAAGGGTGGCGATGTGCATCCCAGGAATAGCCTCTTCACTCTCTCACTAGAGAAGAAGTTGGCAGCATTCAATCATAAGGCAGATAGGCACTCACAAGTGCGTTACTCCTGCATCAACAACTCAGATCAGCATCGACTGGAATATGCCAACAGGCTTCTACCGGATGCGAAGGACAAATATGCAGACCTTGACTGCATTAACGCCTATATCTTGGACTGGGGTAATCGCCGCACACGGCGACTCCGAGTCACAAGAAAGTTACCCCAGCCGTCGAAAGGACGTACTGGGAACGAGTCTCAGATAGATGGCACGAGATCAACAGGTCTAAGGAAATCGATGCCCGTCTCCAGATCACTACCAAGAACTATTATACCACTTTTTCCAATATCGACCTATGGCTGGCTCCTTCCGACAAGGATTGGCATAGCCCACTAGGGTTTACAATCCAGCCTATGAACACAAAAGGAAAGCACAGCAGGTCAAACGAACAAGTGGTGAAAATCGCTAAAAAGCGAGAAGAGCACAATCAACGGCTAGCCGAATATCGGCAGTCGAAAGAGCCCTTCACATATTCTTCCGGTAACTACTGGTGGGATAAGTCACGACCATCAGGTCGTTCCCAATCGTACAACAGGTGGTGGGAGAGGCCACAACCCGAACGTCCAGATGAGCCTCCAAGTCCTCCACCAGGAAGAGAACGGGCATCCTCTTCGTCTGACCAACATGATCTACCAAGATCAAGGTCCAGAAACCAAAGACCGACTGTTGTCGATAAGCTCAACATGTCCCTGGACGAGCTCAAGGAGGTCGAAGAAGAAAAGTCACCAACTCAGAGTGACATTGAGGAGCACGAGCGCGAAACATCAAACCTGATGGATGCGCAACGAGCAGAGGAAGAAGAAGAGGACTCCTCTAGCAGGAGGAGAAGAAAATCTTCACGTCCACCATCAGCACCAAGTGCAAAAGCAGTCAAAACTGCTGCAGCCGCAGCTGGACTGTCAGGATGGTTTGGACACCCCAAACGTGGGGGAGCAAATGCAGAGTCAACGGAGACCGATCATTCCTCGCTGCCAGACTCACTAACAAGTGATGAGTTCTCCTTCTTCAGCATTGCATGGAATGTTTTCCTCTTGCTGATGGGACTCAGGTGGATGTGGAAGCAGCTGACGAGAGCTCCAGTTCAATGTATGGAGCGACCACCAAAGTCGAAGGCAGCAGCCAAACAAAGTGCTCCCTTCCTCGAACCCGAGGACGAGCCTGAATCGAGAGACCTAACAGAACCCAACAGGGTTAATTCAGGAGAATCAACCGATTTGCGACCAATCTGGCATACTCCAAGTAGCCAGTGCTATCATCTCTCTAGCGAATGCTATCAGCTAAGACAAGCGAGAGATAAGTCGCGAAAGATTCTCTGCAAAACATGTTTCCATGCCGTAACAACGGCGGAGATTCGAAGAAACGATATCTTCAACAGAGGTGATACACGATCACGTGGCACCGAAAGAGACATTGATCGCCTCCGAGCCTATGAAAACTCGAGCAATATTCCTCAAATGAGGAGTTTGTTTCAAGATGCTCTTCATGCACAAATGGCTGAAGAAGCCCTAGGTGTGACACACACCACGTTTTCCAAGAGCTCAACAGCCAAGGCTCGAGGTCAAGCTGCACTACCTAGTGCAAAACCATCAGCCTCTTCCGCAATGCCACCAGTGCCTTCCAAGGCAGCCTGCATCTCACCTCCTCCGAAACTTCCGCCGCCAAAAGCCAAGGCATCCTCCCAAGGATCGGCTTCTGTACCCTCGACAAGACCAAAAGGTCCAACAAGACGAGGTGGCATGAACAAACGCATCCAGCGCAAGGCTATCAGAGAAGCCCATGAGCAGGGTCTCTGCAATCAAGCAGACGCAGCTCTGGGTGAAACCAATCTTGGTTCGGCTACCAATCAGATGCGCAGGAACATTATCAACAGGCACATCGATACAATCAACCACACCATCGAGTCAACCGAGCGCTTTCATCAAACTATGCTAGAGCATATTGAAGGCTTCGATGATGGAGAAATCCTCGATGCAGCTTTTGTTCCAGTTATTGAGGTACTCCAACGTAGCCTTACGGATGAGGATGCAATCGTCATAAATGACGACGATATGACAGTAACCATGCCGCTTGCAAGGTATACAAGCATCCTTGATTCCACAGCAGCTCTGAGTGACTCTATCCAGACAGACAGAGACGAAAGAAAAGAGCACATGGGGAAACATGTCGACACTCTGTCAAGAGTACAGAACCTTGTCGCTGCATTACAAAATGCAAAGACGATCTTCAACCAACTACTCCACAACTCTCTTGAAATCGAGAGAAGACACAACAACCTCCGGAATGTTCTGGAGAGCCTCTTCGACGACCCAAGTTCTGAGGATGACTCAGAAGAAGAGGACAAGGAAGATGACGGACCACCGTCACCGTCAACACACCAACATTGGGATAGCAGACATGCTAATGCTTTATCTCCATCAGGAGACGAGTCAGAGCACTCCTGGCCATCTTCCGATGGACAAGTCCGCCAAGGGGCAAGAGCAAAAGCAAAAGCAAAGGCTAAACAGCCAGCATGTCCTCAAGGTTATCCCAAGGCAACCAGCTCACAAGCTGCGCCGAAGGCCAAGGCAGTGCCAGAGATGTCCGATCACGGATACGGCATTCCAGATGCTGCTTTTACTAGAGCTGAGAACCGATTACTTGGTATTTACTCCAGCAGTGAGGAAGACCATTCAGATCCGGATGAGCCTCATCCGAACGCTCTCAGCAGATCGCATGATCCAAACCTGGATCGATCACAGAGGTGAATAATCACCTGAAGCAGCAAGAAAAGAAGTCAATACTCTAACAAGAGTCCAGTGAGCCGTTGCATAATTCGAGGTAGGAGTAGCAGTCACAGACTTGATCATGTACAGAAGATCTCTCTCTGACAAGATTCATATTTGCAGACTCAAAAGTGAGTGAGTGTGAACTGTTCGTAACTTATGGCATATCTAAGATATGATTCTTAACAATGAGTCCATACTCCGCTAGCCTGAGTTCAGTGAGCACTTTCAAGTGTATATGTGTGAACACGAGGCCATGCTTTCAGTAAAAGAAAATTAGTGTCTGTTTGTTTGCCTAAACCTCTAAAGGGGTGGTACTTACAGCAATGGCTTGGCTGCATGCTCACATGTATACATGTCCGCTGCTCGCTGGCTCAAGTGGTTTTACCGACTTGACAACAAGCTCTCTCTGCGTAGCAGAACAAAACACTCGCTGTCCGTGTGCTGGGCGTTGCCTTAGATCCCACGGGACTCAAGAGGGTCATACACTCCCCAAGGAGTAATCCTAAGGGGTGTATCGGCTCACCCCCCCCCCCGCCTCCCCCTCCCCCCCTCCTCCCCTCCCCTCCCATGTCTCGGGGCCCCCCACCCCCTCCTTTCCAAGACACGCTGGACTGTTGTAAGGTTGGGGTTCAGCGGACCGCATCGCATGCAGCCTACAACATCCACTGCGCCCTCGCCCTGCCCCTACAGAGCCGAGGCGGGCGGCGTAGCGTTAAAATTATGTGTTGGAAAAAATTGTTCGGGGCCTCGTTTTACCTGATCCCTATGATTTACCTTCAAGACTCAGTTTCCATTTTATCTTCCAAGTCCTTTCCCATTTGATGTTCCATTCATGGTAGTGAGTTTGTTCCGCGGAGACCAGGCGCCTGGCCGTTTCGATTCGCCAATCCATGCATGCCCAAATCATGGTAACGGGCGCTTGCGAGTGTGTGCGATTACCAGGGCATCCATGCTCAAACCATGAGAACATCTATTTGCGAGTGCTTGTGATCGTCGGAGCATCCATGCTCAAACCATGATCACGCCCATTTGCGAGTGCGTGTCATTACGAGAACATCCGTGCCCAAATCACGATAACGTCCATTGCGCAAGCGTGCAATTGCCAGAGCTTTTATGCCTAAACCATGATAACGCCTAGTTGCAGGTGCGCACAATTGCCAGAGCATCCATGCACAAACCATCATAACGCCCGTTTGTGAGTGTGTGCCATTACCAAAGTGTTCATGCCCAAACCATGACAACGCCAAGAAGCCAATGCGTGCCATTACCAGAGCATCGACGCCCAAACCATGATAATGTCGATTTGCGAGTGCGTGCGAATTCCAGAGCAAGTCGCAGCCATTTGGCAGTTTTTTAGTTGTTTGTATTTAGACGGTTTTGTACTTTAGAGTTTAGGCTCATGCATTGGCTCTTGAGAACTTGAGAACTGCCAGCACAATTTGCATGGCCATTGCACGGAGAAGCAGGAAGGTTATATGTCATCCCCTGTTCCCTTATTCCTACTCCTACACCCTCAACCCCTTCACCCTAAACCCCTTAAGCCCTAACCCTAAACCCTTGCTGGAATGTCATTGCAGCAGATCAGCATGAAGTTGCGACCCTCCTAACTTGGCTTCGGCGGAATTTCGGGAATCCCCCACAGAAAGGTTGCCCGGGTTTAGGGTCGGTCCGAATCCCACATCTTTCCGGTGCCTTCAAACGTTGAGTGTCATGGTCTTATCGGTCAGAAACGGTGACCTGTGCCATGGGAACGCTTTCTCTGATTTCCATCTTGGTCATGTGGCTCTTTGTAGCATAATCAAACTACCGTAACATTGAAGCCTCCACCCTCTAACAAAACACACCAAATGAACTACCATCAGATAGTTGGGATGAAATTTGCTAATAGAGTGTAGAAGAGCTTGTTCGTAGGAGCGGATCAGGCGCTGGTAAAAAGGGAGAAGGTGTCTGCAAATAGTGTGGCCTTGGGCCGCAATCCCCTGCTTTAATACCCCTAGCATTGACATGCTCCCCACATACTACCGTGCAACACAACGGGAAGGTTGGATAGTTGCGGCGTGGAAGGCGGCTCTCATATCGTTATGATCCGACGTAGGCTAAGGAACCTGGCCACAGCCCCTGTGACCTCTTGGGAATGCCGCTGCCGCTGCCCTCGTCCTCTGCGCTCATAAGACCTTGAGTTGTCCCAGGCTTGCAGAGGGCTTAGCTGCAGGTTTTCGGAAGCTTGGCGCCGGAATTCCCAGCCCAAACACTCGAGCATTGCCATCCCGGACCCATTCCGAACGCAGGTGCTACTACTGGGCAGCTTCCAACAACGATGCCAAGTACTGGAATCCTTATTGTGGGGACCCTAAACTTTTGGAAACCCTCAACCCTTGGCATCCTTAAAATATCCCATGAAATCCTGATATAAGCCCCTATATACCTGTTTTTTGGAGGAACCCGGACACTTGCGAAAGGAACCTTTTCTTCGGCGCAAAGGACGGGCCGACAGTTGACAATGGGAAGGTCTCACAAGATCGGAAACTGGACGAGTAAATCAGTCCACACGGGTGTTGTATGGGGTTATACATGGGTTTTCACGGATATATACCGTTTAAGGTAGATTGCGAAACACTACGTAGTGTTGCATGGAGGTACTTGCGGCTTATACAAAGAGGTATAGGGTTTAGGTTTTCGGGTCTGGGGTCATCTGTAATGGTAATAGAAGAGACTATAGGCACAGTGGTCGGTTACAACCTGTGTCGTCCCCACCTACAAGTAGCGAGAAGCAATGTAGTGCCCTTGATTGTCACCCTAAACCCTAAATTACCTGGTTGTCCTCAAACCAAAACCCGGAACAGCAGCACCCAGAGTCTGAGAGCTGCAGCTGTCTGAACCTGTCCATGTGTCCGTGTCTGCACCTTGCCAGGGTTTAGGATTCAGTGTTTTGGGGCCCAGTATACTTTTCCTTATAATGAGGAACCTCCAAAATAGTATGGGTAATTATTACGGCCCTTGTATTATGCAGGGTTGACCAAACCTTCTGTTTAGACTTGCTGGTTGGGGGCTTTGCAGTTCTCACCCGATCGCACGCATAGGACAAAGCTCTCCGCCCAGGGTTATGTTTTGAAGCAGATGTACACTGTCTACATGCCTGGAAGCGAAGAACCCATTAACCTACTCACACAACTCTGTTGTAAAGACAAACTGATGGCACGACGCGGAACAGTCACAGGCGTATTACGTATTCTAGGCCCCCTGAGTAGACAGAACATGACTTACCAAGAGCTTAGCATGATCCCCATATGCCCCGTATTCTATCTACTTCAGGGTGCCTGTAACGTATTAACAGCATAAGGCTTCAACCACGCCAAAACCTTCTGAAAGAGTGCCCCTGGCTGCCTGAAGCAGTTGCGCCGCCGCCCTGCATCAGCAGCAGTTGTTCCTGGGTGAAGATGACGGGCATTTTTGCTTTCTTCTAGGATCCAGCTGTTGACTCACAAATGCTCAAGGCCTACAGTTCAAGTCTCAACCCTCCTACCCCTTGCCTTCAATTGGGGCTCTGCCATCTTGATGCACGGACTCCGGAAACATGACAACGGTATTTCTCTAGGCCCCGGGCCTACTTAGCGTATTGGGATTCTCAAGCCAAATGCGCCGTAGCATGCCTAGAATTAGGTTAAATTCTGGGTTGCATAGGGACGCGTAAACATGGCGTGCAAATGTTGTTGGGTAGTGATATTTAGGGCTAGATCGGAATGTATAAGGGTCATTACATTACATTAAACTACACTGCGTTGCGTTGGATTGCATTACATTACATACATACATACATACATACATATATATATATACATACAGTTTTTATACATACATATACTTTATATATTGTTATATACACATGTATGTAACATACGCACATGCTAACCCCACTGCAACCCTTGGAGGTATCACCCAACCCGTAGGTAACTTCAGGGTTCCAAGGTAGGGGAATTCTACGGAATCGACCCGCAACAAAACCGTAGAAAAAAACACGCTCAGATCCCCTGCGGCCCATCCCTTCATTCACTCCTGTGCCAAGTATGTGGAATCCAGACCTAAGTAATCGACTTCGTAGGACATGAAAGAATGGGAAATGACATGGACACTTCTGCTTGATTCGGGCATTTGTGGAACTACTATAGGGATCCATGCCTTCATTCCCTACAATCCTGAACCCGAAATCCTAAACCCAATACTCTATGGACACAGGCCTGTTGAATCTTTCTGACCAATGCACAAGGTGCTTCCCGTTGCACTTCCTGCTACCACAAGGGGTAGTGGGAGTTATAATGGCCCCTTAACAATCCCCATAACACCCTATACCCTGAAGGCTGAACCCACCTGTACCGATCTCAGATGAGCGGCGACTGACTGAGGTGGGAGACCCAGCCTCAATCTGCCATTCTGCATACTCCCCAAAATCACAAAATTCAGGGTTTTAAGGGGGATATGTAAGATCCCCAATAATGGAGCTTATGTGGGTCCTTTAGCGGCTTGAGTAAGAGGGTAAATATGTACATATATACACACGCATATATGTGTGCAAAGATAGAGTGATACATATACATATAATTAGATATTTATGTGGGGACAGGTTTAGGCTTGGGGGAAAAACCTATCTCAGCAATAAAGTTGGTATGGGATCCTATACTGCGCCGCTTTTACTCTCCTTCTGGCAAACATGGCCCAAGTAAGCTCTAATTTGGCCTTATTTGGAGGGAGGGGAGCAAGGAGGGGGGTTAGCATAGAATTCCATAACATGTCTGCCTGCGCTGTGGAGTTTAGCCCGGATTGGGTGCTCAACCACGACTTGTGACTGCGGCAGATTGGTCAGTATGTTAGAAAGCCACATTTTTTGGGGGGATGGTGCTTCCATTAGGTTTGGGGTTCGGGCAGATTTAACGCTGGATCGTTTTGAAACTCTGCTTCTGTTGGGGTTGCCACAAAAAACGTTCCCCCATGCTTTGTGGGAAGGGCCGGCCAGAAATCCCGAAGTCCGCGAAGTACACTGCCAACATATTTACTAGCTAAATCTCTCTCTTAACGCAACCATCAGGTGTCTTCCCTCCTGACTCCTGAGCCCAGGTGACCTTGAAATTCAATTGGGTCGTCCAGAAGGGATGGCTTTTTCCACGTTGTGGTACACAAGTTATGCAGAGTATGGTACATGAGTACATGACTGTTGCCTAAACACTTGAAACGGCAAACTGTGGTATATCACCTGGCTAAACTGGGAATCTATGCAGTGGCACGAGCTGAATCCACCGAGTTCGTGAGCCACTTCAAACCCTCGACATGTCGAAAAACAGACATCAGACAGAGCTACTTCCGTGGATGCGTCTTCTCGCGGCAGTGCAGCATATCAGTGTTTGTAGCACTTGCTTGCAACCAAGCGACCAAATGACGTTGCCTGGAGAGTTGCGCAAGTCCTCCCGCAAGAAAGCGTAGACTTCAGGAGTGAAAAAGAAGTTGCAGTTTTGCTGCGAGTTTGTAAGCCGAGCCATCTTGCCTTGTACACCACCTTTCATGTGCGGGGTTCGAAAAAATCAAGCCTCCTTTTGGGGGGACTGTGTGGACGTCTATTTGTTTGGGGGTCCACAGATTTCTGGAAAATGCCATTTTGACATCCCTGGACCTGCAACCCACACCAGATTTTCATGGGTCCTCCAAACACCCCCTGCCTCGATACTTTTGCCCTAAGTAATCTTGACTTAGGACTTAGGGGGAGGGGGGTTGGGGGGATAGTAGGTGTATAGATTATACAGGTGCACCCAAAAGTAACACGTGATTATGGAAACCTCCCTGTGGTGGAACCTCTGACTGCCCCTATAAGCCCTAAACTCCAAACCAAGCGCTTAAGCTCTTTCCCCTCCCCGGGTCCAGCTGCGTCGAAGCGAGCTCTTTCCTTAGCGGCTGATGGCCAGGAACGAATTTTAAGACCTATCCAGTTTGGGGTTTTCCAGGGTTTAGGGTTTAGAAGTATTTAGGGATTCGGATTGATGCTTGAATCCGACGCGATCCCAATACCTTACACCTTGGGATTATCATGCGGATCAAATAGATTATAACCATAGCCATACCCGCTAACATCAAAGGCCCTCACCCCCCAACCCCACTAATGCTAAGCCTTCGCATTGTGGCACTGAGCTGCCCTTCGATTGTGATGGGGTTGTACAGGTGCTAAGCGGTTGGATACTCAGCTATTAACTAGACCCTGTAAGCCCTTGACCTACCCTGCTTTGAATCGCTACCCAGGGTCGCAAGTTAGACAATTCAAGCGCCTTGATCTAGGCCAAGTTTGGGTCGTCATCGGGAAGGATAGGGTCTCTGCGAGGTTCAACACTGTCGTGCGGAATGCCCGACTTTGCGATTCTTTGTAATGGTGTGCTAACTGAACCGGCAGACTGAGTTTTCGTTTGGGCTAAGGTGTGCGAAAGTTTCGGGTAGCAGTTTCTGGGTAGCTTTTGTGAGATGGAATGCTCACCACAAAGCTTGCAGCTGAGATGCATCGCAACTTGCTGACGCTTCAGCTGCTGCTGCCTTTGCCTGTGCAGGCTTCCGCAAAGCTTGCCCAGGGGCCATGAGTTTTCCACAACAAGAGGCGCTAAACCCTAAACCCGCAGCAGTGGTGCAATCGGCAGCTGCTGAGTTGGTGAAGAAGCCCCATCGCTGACAACCCCTCATGCCCCTAAGGCTTGGTTCGCGTAAACATCTTCCTCCATCCCGCAACCAAAGGAAGGGAGGTTGCCTAGCGCACTGCAGGTTTCAAGCAGACGGGGCCTTCTCAGCTTGTCCACCCTCCTCATGGCAATGCGACGTCTGAAGGCAGACCTGTGATTCTGGTGCCGACAGGTCCGGCAGGGCACGCAACACAGAAGACTGGACAGCTCCAAATTTCAACCTTTGACAAAGAAAAGCTCAGGGTAAGTGGTTCTTTTCTCATATCCGATATGCCTCCAAATGTTGCTCCAAGAGTCGAGAGTATGCTTGCAGGGCACAATTTAATGTTGAAGGCAGTCTACCCACAAGGTTTGACAAGAAAGGGTTCCACACACCATGGCGTTTCAAAAGATGCTTCCCCGAGAACAAGCGGATCTGTGCGAATGGCAGAAAATGGAGAAGTGAACAAATGCAGAAGGACACAACTAAAGTCTGGACATATTTCTTTGAGATCGATGAAAGGCAGCGGACAGAAACAAACGCATCTTGGTCGAAGGTGCTGCAGCGCTGATTCGTTTTTGTGCCAACAGGTTTCTGAAGAACCACATGCGAGGTTGGTCAAAGCCTGGACACTGAACTCGAAGCCGAGAGCAGCTAGTTGTTCAGAACACTTGTCCTCAAAAGGACCATCCAATTGTTGCCCATGGCCTTAACAATAAATCACAGTTTTGCCGCTTTAACCCTGATCTTACACCCGTTGCTTTCGCCACGGAACTGGATGATGACCACCTTCCTGAGGAAAGATCGCATGTCGAAGTTCATTGACGAGAAAGCCCGAGCCTGGATGACAACGTGCTTAGACTCTCCACACATTAGGGCTCAAGGGGACGTTCATCACCAATTCATGGTACTTGGAAGGTCTTTGTAAAGGTCTGAATTATCAGGATCGAGTTTTGCGAGTACATGATACGGTAGTGCGTACTATGCTCTCATCAGATCAGGATTCTAGGGAGCTGCTCTCCCGATGACTGGCTGCAACATGCCCAGCAGGTACCCAACTATGGACTCAGGATTTTGGGAACACTGAGCCGGAAAGTGCTGATCGACTACATTTGACTCAAGCTGCTCTGGCGACGGTCAATCAACACCTGTAAGCTCCAGACACTGCCCACAAACTCAGAAACGAATGCTCTGTAGTCCTGCAGCAGGATGACGCCGTGGGGGGGCGTGTGAAGCATGCATCATAGTAGAGCCGTTTCTGCAGAGCATGAGAAGACAGAGGGCTCATGCCTAACATGCATCATCGACACTTGCGTAGTAAACACCATGTGAACTGATGGCATGGCTAGATTAAAGCCGAGCAGAAACAACCGGCTACTTGCATCTTCAGACATGTATACACGTGCTCTGTGTACAGACGTGTAGGTTCGTACGTATGTACTTATACGATAGTATATATGTATATATGACATACCATGGGCTGGATCGTATTCCCTTGTGTTTGTGACTTGGCGCAGAACCAATACTTGCTCACGATGAACTATTGAACCAGTAGTTTGACCCCGAATGAGACGCCAAACCAAACCATTCGATTAGACTCCAAACTCCTGATCCCAAACTCAATCCTGAAAGCATATTTTGTGATTGCAGGGGTGGATGAACAAGGAGTAGAACACGATCTCAGGATACTGGTCGCTGCACCCGCAACAGCTATGAGGATACACGCCCTTTTTTCCGCCCAACCTCCTTGTTAGACAATTACAAAAGCAGCCCTACGTATGCATTGTTGGACGTGGGCATAGTGCAGCTGATTGATTCGATCGCGGGGAGATAAAAGGGTTTATTCACTCTGAGTGGGTGTATAAACGCTACACCCAAACCATTAAGCCATGGAGCCAATGGATTTCGCCGCTGAAGCCACCAAACCGTTCAACCAACAATCCATCAAATCGCTGGTCCCCCCCCCCAAGGAGCCACTCAACCATCAAAAATTAAACCATTGGGCCAATAGTTTCCTTTCCAAGTGGAGCACAAAACCAATACTTTTCCGTTGAGAACAGCAGGGTGGACTCCTAGGGGGAGACTAGTTATTGGTCTATCCTGTGGTTCATTGGTTTAATCGTTAGCGCCCCCCTTTCGGGGGTGGAACTATTGGTTCAACGGGTTAGTGGCTCCATTTGCAAGGAAACAATTGGCTCCATGGTGTAATCGTGCAGTGGGGTGAAGCTATCCGTCTACGGCCTGAATGATTTGGTGGCTCCATTCAGGGAAGCAGGAAGTTCCACAGTAGTCTCATGGTCTTATGGTTTAGTGAGATTTGGTGAATGACGAATATGCCACGGTCATGTACGATGTTACTCATGTATACATATATACATACATGCACATATACATGCAAATACATCTGCATATCATGATATACCGAACACGTCTTGCTGCATCACACCGCGCGCGTAACGATCCTCATACTCGCGCCCCTTCTCATCGAGGACAACGTTGCCCAAGAGCCTAGGGAAGCAGCAGAATTGGAACTTGGAACACACACGGGTAACCGAGAGGTGGAGGGTTTAGCGTTTTGCCTCGGCTTTAGGATCTCTTCCACTTTATATCCTTCAGGTTCAAAAGACCTCGCAAGCTCTGTAAAAGATCCATCCTAGGGCACCCGAACTTTTTTACAGCACAACTCAGACATTGCAGCTGAGCATCCAATGGTAGTATCGCAGGAGGTCGGCCGCTTTGTCCTAGCGCACGAGGTGACATGCAAGATGAACTGTGGCCTGAGCAGCATAAGCCGTGAACCCCCGGCCCCGAGTTTGATGCTAAACTCCGCATATAAGTCCGTGGGTATTGATAGGTGGGGATATGGATAGGATAGCCGTAGTTGTAAACAGTCATCGCTCTTATCACCTTAATATTCGGGGTTTCTAGAGCCTGAACTGCTTCTGAACACCCATGAACTACCAAGGCTGAGGGTTGGGATGAACATTAGGGTTTGGGCAACCGGGCGGGCCTGGGGCTTATGTAAGCTGGTTTTTTGGTGTTCAGGCGGCAAGGCTGCTGTGCTCTCACGATCCGGATCCAGAAAATGCTTGGGGAAATGTGCTCAATGTGGCATGGTCCCGGAAAGAATGCCCTTAGATCTTCTCGATGTCTGTGGAGCGGCTTAGTTCAGGACTTCACGCCCGTGAGGAACCAACATCTCAATGGATGATATGCCGGTATACTTGTGGGAACTTAGGGTTGCTACTTATGAAGGGCTACAACGGGGTTGTAAAGGCCTTACTACTAGGATATACCCGAATCTATAACTCCATGGTCCCTCAATGTACTCAGGCATGAAAACTTATACGTGACCTTGCAAATCTCAACAAGTCAATCAGCTCATGTACAGCTTCCCGGACGTCCAGCCATCTTGCTGTCTCGCCATGATGGCTAGTTCAGGAAACATTCCTGCTCTGCACCTAAACCCTAAATTGCAGCCAAACCTGACTTTTGCCCATCCCTGTCCAGGTTTCCGAAGACGGCCTGCGTGGACATTGCCAATTCCTGCCAGCCAAAAGAGCTACCAGGGTTTGGGGTTCCCAGCTGACAAACGGGAAATGGGAAAAGTAATGAACAACAACGCGGCAGATGGATGGACTTTGGGGTTGTAGGTGTGGGGATGAAGCTTGTATGCAGGGGCCTATTCCACTAGACACGGGTTCCGCGGCAGATGATAATAGCACCAGTACATATCTACTTTAGAAACTGAAACTTCGGCAATCTGTACATTATGCATTCCAGGAGACACTCTTGTTTCGCAGGTCAGCACATGTAAACCTAAAGAGCTACCGTTCAACAAGCCAACAACCTCGGAGTTTCCGAAACTAGGGGACCCTTAAGAAAGACCCTAAATAGTAGGATCCTTATTCTAAGCACCCTTCAGAAAGTACCCTAAATAGTAGAGCCTTATTTCAAGGACCCCAAGACAAGGTACCCCCGATTTTCGGAAGCTCCCACCCGCACCAACCGTGCCACAGCATGCTAAGCTTGCCTACTGAGCACACAACATGGGCAACCCAAAACAATAAGAAGACCCGGAAAGAAAGAACACGCCGGGGGGTCGCAAGTGCGCTGACAGGGACCTGTCTTTCTGGTCTCACACCTGGCTAGCCCCTGCGGGTTAATCACTTTTTTTGCTAACATTCTAGCGGGAATGCAGCAATGATGTTGCAGTGTGCTGTTTAAACTCGTAGGATGCCACTAGCAATGCTGAGTACCTATCAAAAGAAGTCTGCGATTTCGCCACTGATTCCACTGCTCCGCAGTCTACCAGAGGCCGTCGTAGTAGCCACAAGGTGATGCAGTGTAAGTGGCTGTACGGACAGAACCGTCACGGCCGGGACCAGGCTTTGCCTTCGCCTTTGCATCCGCAGCAGAGCTTTGTGCACATTGAATCTCGTGGTGCTAAGAGATGTGAGCAGCATGGCGGCACACTGAAGCAAGGTTGGCTCTCAACATTGCCGAGGGCCACCCTGACAAACGCCGTTGCGCTGAGCATAGAACACATCCATGCCAAATGTGCGCAATCCACGAACTTGAGCTCATGCAGGGTGTTGAGAGGAGTGCCTGCGAAATAACTGATTTTGTCTCTCCAGCGCAGCGAATGAGGAGTCGCCGTGCCTGCGTGCGTCCCATGTCTGGCATGAAAGCACCGGCGACAGTGTCCATGCGCTTCATTTCAGACCTTTTGCGGCCAACCGTCGAGCACCTTGTGGCGTGCGCATCCATGTCATAGCGGTCGAGGAAGGACGCAAAGTTAAACCCCCCCGTTTGACGGCGCGATTCGGAGTAACGACGCCTCAAACGACAGGTTGACACGGGTGCCCTTCGCCACGGAGTGCTTGGCATCGGTTTCATCGATGGCGAGTTCTGATGGACTTGCTGAACCCTAAACCCTATAATTACCCTATGAACCCTAAACCCTCCTGCGCTTTGTGTTCTCCAGGGACTTCCTCTCGTAGTGCGTCACCCTGTTTGTGGCGTGTCCCCAAAAAACATTTCATCTGCCCACAGAGAATCACCGCCCCCCCACACTTCTTGCGTGGGCTCTCTTCAAGGGGAGCTTGATAGCGTAGCATTGCTTTCCTCTCCTTCTTCTGAATCAATTTCCGCAGTGTGAGTGACTGGGATTCGCTGCTCCTCCTGGCTAACCCTTGCGGGTGTACTTGTTATTATTTAATTCGATACTCTTTGTCTAGCATATCATCATAGATTTTCCGCACCCGGACCGAGGCGACCAGAGTGCGGCGCTTGTAACTACAGTGAGATTTGCATGTAGTTGCAGGAGACAGCAAAGTTCTATTATTTTAGAACAGACATTGTGCATAACAAGTCCTGTACCTCGAACTTTTGGAGTCTAGGATACTCTAGGTAGGTGCAGGAGGTAACAAGGACAATGCCAGTAACTACTTGAAGATGAATATACATCGACTCCTTCATAGGCCCCCCTTTCAAAAAAAACCTTTGCAATCCCCATAATGCCATAATGTATGTCCTCAGAGTCCTCAAACACACGTTCTCTTCTCATCATGTGCTAGCAAGAGGATGAGCATGATAAACATGATGAAGAGATATGATGATGAGCAGCAGCAGCTGCAGCACACGGATGAAGAAGATGATGATGGCAGTGTTTAATGTGCTGCATTGGTGAAGCCGCAATCGAGCCCCAACAGCCGCAACACAGCCCTTCGGCCTTTGCTGTTACCGGAGCTTTCCACAAGCGGGTTGCCTGCACACGCAAGAGATGGGAAGAGCTGGATTGGTCCAGGCATTCTCCCAGTACGCCTGAACATGTGAATTTACCTACATCGCACGAGGATCCCTAATACAATCGAAGGAAGAGTCTTTATCAAAAGTATTGGGAGTGATTCGGCCGGTCCACGATGGACGAGACCCGGTCTATGAAAGGCCTCAGTATAAAGATGGTACGACCATGGCGAAGCGAGCGAAAGAATGGGTCACCGGCGTGGGAATACAGCCCGAACTAGATGGCATTCGGGGATTCCTTAGAAGCATTGTAAACTGTTGGGATTTTTTGTTATTGGGCTCCGTGGGTTACCCAAGCCCCCCTTAAGAATATATTGCCACAGGAATTGTAATTGAAAATGAGACTGTATCGGGGAGGTTCATGCGCGAGGTTTGTTCATGGGGGCACAGATGATCGGTTCTCCGGAAGGGGCTCGTGGGATTTCATGATCAGTTTTACCCTGTAGGTCTCGTAGATGCATCTCTTCGGGCTCCGACTTGCAGGGCCTTTTATGGTGGACTTTCTAAGCATCCTTCGAAAGCCCACAGGTCATGGAGTATTCCCAGGTACTTTTAGGACCTTGGATAAGCCATGAACCCACTTACCAAGTCCCCCTGTTGGGGAGTCCTTTATCCACCGTGGGACAGCGACCGTTTCCATGTGATTTTACATCTTCTTCTCCCCCTATGACCCCATAATCCCCAACAAACCAAAATACACCATGTAGCCCCGATACAGATCCATGTCTGTGAGCTCTAGGACCGTGAGACTGCCAGACCTCGAGATGAAAGTACAATGCGCGGGTCGACGGCCATCGGTGATGGAAGCCAATCAGCGCTTTCAACTTAGCCACCAAGGCTGTGCAATGGCTTCATATGAGGTATCGTCTAAACTCTGAGTATCCCCTTAATGAGCGGTGGGACCCCTGTATGCTCCTATAAGGGGTTTAGACTGCAGCTCATATTAATATAGCTCCAGTAGCATCTTACAAGATTTACGGTTTAGGGCTGCTGCCATTGCTCGAATAACAACGTATAGGGTTCAGGGCTTGGGGTTTGGATAGTGAAAAACCAATGCCAAATGGCAAATCAAATGGCAACTTGGCTTTAATAGCGGGTCGTAGGGATTCCCGAATACAGAGCGAGTGACAGCCGCCCCGACGCGTTAAGCGAAGCCTAAACATCATTACAAGGTCCCCACGTACGTAATCATTGCATAGCTGACCCCTACCGGGCAAGCTTTTAAAGAAAACAAACTAACTCACCGTGATGTGGATGTACAGGAAAAAATGAGGTTGACTTAGTATGGTAACTCAGTTGAAGTTCCGTAATTATTAATAGCACGCTGTTGTATGTTATACATACCACCCATAGCTCTGTACAGGGACCCTATTGGACTTGGACTCTGTAGGCGGAACCCTATCTAACCCTCAATTCCAGTGTGGTAACCGTATAAGCCCCCTACAACCCTGCACTAATCGCCACAATTCCTTTTCATTGCACGGTTTTAGCTCCTCAGCAGCAACCCAGCTTAAGGCCAAGACAGGCAAGGAGAGGAGGTCCAACACCAAGCTCTTGACCTCCAGCCTTCCTTCTGTCTCCTGGAATATAGGGTTTGTGGGAATGTAGGGTTTAGGTTGACGTAGGGCTTATAGAAGAATCGACGAGGTTGTATGGGGAGATTGTAGGCAACATCCACATGATGCTTGTCTCCTGCACAAGTGGTGCATAGCAACGATAGCAAGGGCCTGTTCTAACCAGAGCTGAAGGGGCTAAGGGTTTAGGTGTGAGGGGGCCAAGGGTTTAGGTATTTAGAGTATGGGGCATGGAGGCACATAAATATGCTAGCGATAGCAATTGCCTGGGCCTATTCAGTCTGAAGAAGGGAGAATGGAATTCAAGCTGGAGACAAGAGTGGGGGCTAGGATTGTATGTCGGGGCCTTTACACTTAGGGTACAGTTTTGGGGCATATTACGTTGTAGCTCGATATGGACCTTAGGGAAGCAATGTTGGTAATTCTTCAAGCTTCTACATTACCCTGGCCCCCTGAACCCCAAAGCCCAGACGTCTACAAACGTCCATATCTTAGTTCCACATTAGTAGTATCCCCTAAGTGCTGAACTTCCCTCTTTGGGGCTATGTATGGTGGTGCAAGATTTCCTCCTTCCGAGCTGAGATAGCATGAAGCAGCAGAACCGGGCAATGCTCCAGCAAACTCCCACGAAACGACATCGGGAATCATGAAATTCATGAAATGCGATGGACACCTAAGCGCCAATCCCAACTCAACCTGATACCTAAAGGCTCCAACCCAATACCCCTGAAACCCGGAACCCGACGGCCGTGGAAGGGTCCTGCTTGACCCTGAGAAAGCTCTCAACAATGATGGCCAGCAAAATGTTCAACGAGACCAAGAAGAGCAGGAAGGTATACCTCAGCTTTTAGGCTTTCAGGGGTTGAGGGTTTAGAGGGGGAAAGGAGGTATACCTTGGGTCATTCCCCTTTACCGCAACTTCGTTTGAAGGGGCGGGGCAATTGGAACTGCAAGTTTGAGCTCGCCAAAGTCTGCCCAGTTCAAGGGGGCAGAATCAGTACAAGTTAGGCGTGGTCTCAGTTGTATAGGAGACATATAAGATAGACAGCTTGTCCTACTGTAATCCTTAAAATGAGGGGGCACAAGAACGGCCAGTAATCTTGGAACCTCCACCTTCGACTTGTTCCGACGTGTTTGACATATTGAATGTTCGCGGCAGGTATGTCGCTATATCGTTCCGACAACGCTACATAGACATAAACCCTACATAAAGCCTCTGTAGTCCCTGTATCCCCAAATGTGCCGCAAGCTTGGTTTCAATGTTGGCTGCAGGTCAAGCGACAGAATGTACCAAATCTTCTGCAGCCAGCCTTCTGTCCACTCATCCTGGACCAAGGAAGCTACCCAGAATGGCAATAAACATGCGAGGTTGGGGTTCTGATACGGTCGGGAGGTGCGTCCTCACCGTATGAAGAGTACTAAGTTATTTGCACGCAGGAGCGGATACGTATCCCTTTTTGTCACTCCTGTGTTGCTGTTTGTCTTTAAACCTCTTTTCAAGATCGTTGGGTGCCTGCAGGATGGTGCTTGGGACACAAGGCAGTTGCAGGGCGAGCAAGCGGTGCTCTGACCATGTGGCTCTTCACAGCAAACACGAAGCATCTTATGGTCAACCTACTGAACCACTTTCAACTGCCGAAACCTCAAAGGGGTACTCGCCGATCAACATCCTCAGGCACAGAGGCAGCATGCAGAGCTGGTCCAGAGACGAGGCACGCTTGAGCTGCTGCCCCCACCCAGTGACAGTATACAATGGGGCAATGTCAAGGTCTGTGTGTAAGTATTGTTGAAAGCATCACCTGAGTGGGGTCAGTGTTCGAAGTGTCACATAGCCCTAGGCAAGTTGTTTGCAGAATGTGCTTTGTGGTTTATATAACTTCTGTTCCTACTGCGCCGGCGTCTGTCCGTGAGCTGTAATGTTGGTGTGCATCAGGTCCTCTTGACAAATAAAGTGAAGCACCCTCCCCGCGTCCGGAAACACTCAAAGCAACCATTAACCTTAAATGCTAAGCCATAAGGCAACCGTAAACCCGACCCTTGCATCCCTAAACCCTGCAGCTGAGGTGCTGAAAGCATGTGTTGGCGGCAATGCGGAAGGTGGAGAACGCAATCCTTGGCACCAGCAGCTCGGTGTTCAGGCCTTCATGATCTGGGTGGCTCTTGAAAGGCCGCAAACTTGTCCATGAACGGGCTCACTTCTTCAACAACAGGGGAAAATATGAATAATCCCCACTAAGTGAGACCTCCTTACTCAGTATTGGCTGCGTAGCATAAGACCACGCAAACAAAGAACCTACACTTTGTGAGATCATGGCATCCTAGTCTGCACTGGGCTGGCCATCCAGCTTTATGCATGTCCACCATGTCTGCAACCGCCCGTATTATCATGAAAGCCATGGTCCTCGCTTCCGCTCACGATGAGGAGGCTACTGTTCCTGAAGGAAATCTCCCGGACTTTTTGAACTTAGGGCGGTGCGGAGTTTCCTCCATCATCAAGACAACAGTGTTTCAGACTGCGTGCCTGTTGCCAAGATGCTTGTCTGGGCCGAAGGACCAGTGAGCCAGCCAGGCCAAAATCGCGAAGAAGATGCTGAGGAGAGGTTTAGGGCTCAGAATTTTTCGAAATCGTATAAACAACTAATGTCCCAAGTTTTGTGTGAGCTTTATGCCGGGTTTTGTGCCTTGCTTTTGGCCTCGATTTCACTTCATAGTTCTTCTGTGCTGGGGTTTAAGGTTTAGGGTTGTGATAGTGGCCTTAAGCCTGCAAAATAAGGGCCATGCAGGCTTTATCATGGTTATTTGGGAGGTCTAGGGAGAAAGATTTTCCATCAACACTGCCTAGCTTTCCTGTCTGCTGTGTGGAACCCTTCCTCTCTACTTTGGGGGACCCTGGGTCATTTACAATTGATTACAACATGGCTTTACTTGTCTGACTAAGGAGATATTGGGAGGTTCTCTAAATCAGGGGACCCGTTCTAGGCCCCCGCCCCAAAATAATACGTATAAACAGAACCCTCAGAAGGGACACTAATTTAGAGAACTACTCCTAGAATGCCCTAAACCCTAAACCGTGTTACCCGAACTCCGGAGTCGCTGAAAGGCGGGTTCTTCAAGGCTCTTCTTGACCAAGGGCAGCCCAGTACCCCTTGACGTAGGAACGTTCCATAAAACATCTGAGAGCTTGAAATAGGATTTCAGGCATATTCCGAAATTTGAAAGGCCCTGGGCTCGCTGAAAACTTTCGTGTGTCAAGTGGGAACGGCAGGATACTGAACATCCAGGCACGGTTATAGGGTTGCATTTAAGGTTTTTCAATCTTCTTACGGACCCTGACTTTCCCACCGGGCGGGCATTAACTACCAGGAAGACTGTACCAAGTGAACGCCAATTGCTGCACAGCCTCAACGAAATACCAACTTCGCGTTGAGGTCGTAGGTACCGTATACGACAATTATACAGTTCTAGAAGCAATCTGAAACACAACTGGCAAGTCATTTAGTGCCCTATGTCTGCGTGTATGCTCATGGACTCATGGACTCACCTCATGCTCACCGAAGTGTGCTCCAACGCAGAGGGCGTGACGACACAACATGAGAAACAAAAACATGCGACATGGATACTTGCCACAATTCAATATCATGTTTAAGGACTCCTGGTATAACTAATAATCTTCGAAAGGATATACGTTAAGTATTTGAGCTCCTGTATTGGATTACTTTCAAGTGATGCAGCTCTACTGGGCCCTACGGAGGGATAGTGTCTAGATCTGCAGAATTCTTCTATATGTGTATATGTATGTATGTATGTATGTATGTGTGTACATATATATATATATATATAAGAGTGTATACCGCCCTCCGCAAACAATGCCCATCTAGTCACCTAGCATCAAGCCCACAGCGACGCCCCGGATCCAACTCCCACTGTCTCAGAAGCACCAGGCGGAAAATCTCGGACGTTCTAGGCCAATCCTGGGGCAGTCGTGCCCTAGGCTGATTGGAACCTTGGAACTGCCACCCTCCCACAAGTAACCCGACAAGCGGCATAAAGATCAGGCAGAAGTGGAACATATCGCCGGCTGCTACCATGACTGTGCGGCTGATGAGGTCGACCTTCGGATGCACTTCCATGTACTGGATAAGTCCTTGGCTCGCACGGAGAGGAACACAGGGGCCGGGGGGGAGGGGTGTTCTCAAGCATCATGGGGCTACAAAGGGGTATACACCCATTAGGGTTGGGGATTCAGGGTTTAAGGTTGTTCTCAAGGTCCCTGTGAAGTTCTAGCTGAGGGCGATCTTGGTGACAGCTTCTTTTTTGAACAACTACTGTATAAACCTTCCCAGCGAGAGCCATGAAGGCCTGAAGCTCACACAGTAAAATTTCTAGCAACGAAATCTTTGCTACATTTCTTGTTATTGCCGCTGCTGTTCCTCCTCCTCCTCCTCCTCCTCCTCCTCGACCCTCAGTGCTGCTCTTTTGCTATCCTCGCCTGGTTTCCAGACCCTGGCCATCCAAACATGATGAAAGAAGGCTTACATCTTACTCAGCCTGGATGGTTTGTACCTTCAAAGCATGTCGAACCCTGCCCCTTTGCCCTAGATTGCTACGGAGCAGAAGAACTTGCCTCGCACTACAAATTCAAGCCCTTGCTGGTCGGATTCTACATTCTGCATGCACAAAGGTGCCCTACTGCGACAAGAGCTCATGCCCAAGACACCAGCCAGCAGACTTCAGCCATGTCTCTGAGGAGGCACATGAACACCAGGAAATAAGCCAGCAGCTTCATCAACTCCTGTTCTCGGATGGCTCTGGATTAGCTCAAGAGGAGACTCCCCCGCAGGGATTCCACTTGCTTAACATCCGTTAAGATCGCTTGAGGGAAGCTTGCGAGGAGTAGTGTATGGGGAGGGTTCAACGATTTAGGCTCGTCTCAGCAGGTGCTATGATAGGCAGCCCTCGTGCGAAAGCCATTCCGGCCCTTTCACTAATTCGAGCACGCGACAAGCAAGCTTCATTGAATTTCTGTGGTTGTAGACTTAGATGATGTTTCTATCTGGAAAACACCTGGGGGATGAGAAATCTCGTTTAGGACAGAATGGGAACACCACCAAGATTGGTAGTGTCCTCCCTGTACCCTTTGCATCTTCTAGCCGGCAAAGACAGCAGAAACAAGATGCAGAAATGGTGCCAGACTTGCTTTCTTTGGACGGTGGCGGCCTTCTAACCCAGGCAGTCAAAAGTCGAAGCATTCGTAGGGCATTCAGGTGTCTACGGCTGGTGATATAGGTATTACTCATATATCATCCCTAGAGAACCCCGGATACGGGCCGTCAGTAATCCCCTGCTGATCTCCATGTATCCGTCGAGATTTGGACGACCGAAATTCCAGACTTGCATGAGCCTTCTGGATAAACCTCAAACTTGGATACCACGCAGCCTGGTATGCCACAGCATCCTTGATCACGTTCAATGTCTCGAACGAGTCATTGATGACCTCAAGGCACTCGAGGGCGTTAGGTCGACATTCCTGTGGTCCTCTGGGATATAGCACCAGTTGTAGCTCTTGGCTATATAGGTTGGCAAGCTTCGCTAGCGACACCAAGTGCTCTTCACATGAACACATGAGCCTGGCTGTAAGAAACTGAGATGCACCCTGTTTGTCTTCGCTGTCTTTCGGATGGATGTGTCGCTGCTTTTCCTGAGTGTATACTTGGACCCCGTACACTTGGAGGTCCGTGACGCCCATAACTTAGTCAGTAACCATAGTCATAACGCAACAAAGTCCCGTAACTACAGTTTGTCTACATATAACAGGGTCATCAATACAGTGATCCAATAGCGTAAACCCTCAGAAGCTGTGGCAATCTGTCCTGTGTGTCTCTAGCGAGCGTCTGCGTCAGTTGCCGAAGCTTTGCCAGGTCTTCTAAACAGAAGTTGCACGTAGGACTGCAGACTGCAGAATCAGGTTTATGGGCATGATGTCGTACCATTGACATGTGTTTTCTTGGGATTGTGACGCGAGCTTGTTTCTAACCAAATCTTCATGTAGCAGTCATGAGAAGACTGTCTTCACAACACTTAGGCCTCCTGCAGGGCTAGGTCAATAGAAAAGAGAGTTCAACAGTTCACGAGCGACTAATTAGGCGCGTCTGCACTGAACAGAAGCCTATAGATAGGTGGCAGCGCTCTCGCGAGAACATGCAATCCAACTCCAGACCTAACACTGCTCAGTAGTAGTACAGTAGCAGCAGTGTGCAATAACAATAGTAGTGGAGTAGTAGTACAGTAGTAGCAAAGTGGAAGTAAAGTAGTGGTACAGTGGTAGTGGCCCAGAGCTGTTTATCGGGGTTTGGGGATCCCCCCAAAAAACCATGCACTATACAGGGTTTAAGGTTGGGCTAGGGTTTGGTTTAGGGTTTCGTTAAGGCTACCCCAGAGGGTTTGGGGTTGGGGGTTTAGGTTCCTGATCCTCTGCTCAAGAAAGATTGACCAGCAGCAGAAGGGGCCGAAGCAAACCCCCAAAAAATCCGCCGGGCCAAGAAAACGCATTATATATATCGCCCAATTTTTTCTACCAAAGATGGAATAAGCCCAAAGAATATGCATTAAAGAAGCCGATGACACTAAAGACAGTCACACATTGTCATCGTTTGTGGATCCGGCTGGAGTTTCCACTGACGCATGAGCCAGCATGAGCCCAAGTGGCCCCCAAGTGCTCGTTGACCCAAAGTATGATTGCAAAACCCGCGTAGCACCCAAAAACCTGCAATGGAGAACGATAGACCGTCAGAACTCTGGCAATCTAGCGTGCTAAAGAACCCCCAATGCTGGTCCGTCGTAGTACTGGGCCTCAATGATTACCAATGTCATTTTGAGGTCTATTTGAGGTACCTTATACAATAATTCTACATGGAATATACATCCACAATTTGGCAAATGAGGTCCCGCACAATACGAGAAACCCTTCCACCGCAAGTGCAGCAAAGCAGCCATTGCGACGGCGCTTTGGCTCGACGGGTCTTCCTGGGCGCGGATTTCGGAAAGCAGGTTGTTGTTTTGAAAGCAGGTTTTTAGGGTTTAGAGTTTCTACAACAAGGGCTTGAGTGTTATCTGATTTAGATTGGTTCCCTTGTCTATGGTAATGCCGGCCGGTCAGCTCAGTTCATTCCATGACGTAGAGGTCGAAGTTGTTAGTAGGGGATAGAGGAATGGGAGGAATGGAAGAGAATGTGGAAGCTACCACAGCTTTATTCGTGGGATAATTGTCGCCGTGCGATTTAGGGTTTAGAGTTTAGTGTGGTAGCGAGGGAAGGATTGGAAGAGGACCTGAAAATCGCCATATTATTTGCGATTCGATAGGGGCTAATATGGGTATAATTCTTCATTCCTTGCAAACCATCCGCCCACCAAGCCATGCAGCAACTGCGATTTCCTGTTGCACTCCATCAGTTTTTACAAACAACCAGCAACTTAACCCTAAGCTCTACAGCATGCATACTCCTATAAAAGTGCGGTGTCACTTTATGTTCCGTTTGTCTCCCGTTTGATTCTCCATTCCTAACCCTGAAGCCAAGAAAGATGGCAGTTCTCGGTTTGAAGTTTGCTTTTACATTCGGCTTCAATTTCCTTACGACAGCTCGTGACTAAACCCCAGATTCTAAATCGAGTCTTCCATCTAGTTTCCCGTTCCTCCATTCCTCTGAGACTTAAACAGTGGCGTCCATTCCCTTTTCCATTTCTTTTCTCCCTACGATGAACCATTCCGAGGCCCTGAGCCCTACACCCGTGGGCCTAGGCCAGTAGTTTATAGATGGAGCTACAAGTCCGGAATTAATTGGGTTGTCCCCGAAGCCTTCAAAAAAACCCACTGCCATCGCCATAGACTCATGGTTTGAAGTTCGGGGTGTAGGGCACCATGGATAAATCCAGTTCTCACATCAGTGTCCATGGCTCTCCACTATCGTAACCCTAAACCCGAAAGCCTACGCTCCCCCAAACTAACATGGAAACCTATACAAACACTTTCAAGAGGACTGCAGCCTTTACACGACCCTTTTTGGGTGGTCATGTCAGTTTCCGGGAGGGTAAACAATGTTGAGACTTCCGTTTGATTTTCCATGTGGATCTCTTATCCCCTTTAAGGAGTGCCTATAGCCTACCTTCTAAGTTCTCTCAGCCTTCAAGGAACAAGATGCAGTCAAGAGGGCCAACACTCTAAACCCGAACCCCCCTAAATCTTAAAAAAGAACCCGTCACTCTTAAACCCTCAACCCTAAATCCTAAGCCCTACCCTCAACCCTCACCCTAAGCCCTAGAAATTAACAGCCAGGAGGCCACGCTGAGAATCCGATTGACCAAAGAGATGAGGCCCGTCATGGTCCTTGGATCGCAAAGCTGCGCAAGTATACTCTCGTTGGGAGGTTTAAGATTTTTTTTGGTGGGTTTAGGGTTTAGGGTTTCGGGCAATCAGGGGCTTGTTGGGGTTTGGGGTGTGGGGTTCTGTTGGTGCTCAAAGTGGAGTGCAGGAAGGAATATACGCACCCAGTATAGGGGAGCATATAGGGATCACTATCACGATGCACTCCCCAGTCCGCGTTAAGCACTATTACAGAAGCCCCGCGAACCCAAATTGCAGTTTGAGGTTCATGTTTGAAGGGTGACAGGGACATATGGGGGGATGGATAGGGTTTCCCTGGCTCAGGAATCGCATCCCCAAGTAGGCTCACAAATGCCAAAAAGGGATAGAGGGATGTGTGGGGGGATACTTCCCCCAGTGCCGGAATTTGGATTTAGGGTTAAACGTTTCAGACACTTTAAAGCTTCCTCGGCTCACGAATTACATCCGGCAACTACACAAATATGATGATGATTCTTTCACATGCTGGGGTGCCAAAACTATGACCCCTGTAAAGGGCAGGGAAATGTCCTAGATAGGAGTGCCTAAGTATCCCGACCTGTTCAGATCTCAGCACGTGGAACCCAAAATCGAGATCGACATCGCTAATACCAGTGCCGAAAGAATTACCAAGATCATTCTGCGGACCATTTGAGGCACCATGCACAGTACCCGTACCAGGAATCCAGGACTACGATAGCTGTGACTTTTTCGTCTTCTACATTAGATTCTTCAGTGTGGGCTTCTCTTGGAAGCATGTCACAGCTTCGGCAACGCTGCAGCACCACCCTCACCCAGGAACGGAAGCAGCTGCATTCAGAATTTGGCCAAGCATCGTATCCTCACCTACGAGGCGATACAGGAGGTCCTGGGTGCCAAAAGCACCAAGCCTGATCATGCCGGGCGCATGGAAAGACCACTTAAGGTTCGACCAGGTATATATCATGAAAAGAAACACAAAAAACACCCTTACCAATCATCATAGAACCAGCATCTGCGGCTTTGGTTCTCTCCGACTTGGGTCTGGCACATGACCAAAGAAGCTGCTCCTTAAACAGATAACACACCCTGGCCCAGTAACAGCACCGTCAGCAAGCAGTCATAGGTTACGCGGCGATGCGCTTTCACCTTGCAGCGGTCTGATGGCGTTTTTGCTTTCTCTTAGGCAATCTGAGATGCACCCTGCTCGCAAGCTGTATCACAATGCGCTGCCCTGCAAACTGCCAAGCATGCCGAAGCCTCAGACATGGCTGGGTTGGCATAGACAATGCTAAACTGAGGTAGCAGCTCGGCAGCAGCGGAGGAGGATGAACAGAATCCGAGCGTAAATGAGAACGAGGAAGGTGCTCCTGACAGCTTTTTGTCGCTCGGTGAGTGCTAAGCCTTGAACGTAAGCTTGCAAGTATACTGGAGCACTTCGAGGGAACAAGACATAAACTAACAAGCTGCGCAGGGCTTTGAATGGCTTTGAATACAGCCAGAAGCTCCACACAAGAATGCTAAGATCCACGAGCTGATTTTGAGGGGTAAGCTCAGCTTGTAAGCCACGCCCCAAAATAATCCCAAATCCATGACCTTCAAAGTCTGTGCGTGCCAAGGAGCTGGAGGGCTAAGTATGTTGTCCAGCGCGGTGCATCCTTCTGGAACCGTCCGTGAATTCATGGCAGTGCTGCTTCAAAGGTGTCTTCGACGTCAAACTAGCTCTCGCTAAACCCTAAATCCTACATCCCTTCAACGCTAAAGTAGAAACCCTAACCCTCCCGAGCCTGGAGAACGCTGTGCGTGTTGATGCGCCTGTCTGCAACAATTCGGCCAGTATTCTCGAAAGCAAAGTCCAACCTCAGCCTCGGCGAATCGTCGGGTTCTGATTTGGGAGTTTCCGAAAAATTAGGGGTACCTTAGGGTCCTTTAAAGGGTTTTTACCACAAGGGTACTACAAGGCTTCCTTTAAACGGCTCTATAAGGGCTTAGAGTTTCCGAAAATTAGGGGTACCTCATTTTGGGGTCCTTGTGATAAGGATCCTACTATATAGGGTACTATGTTAGGGTCCCCTTGTTTCGGAAACCCCCCATTTGACGGTATCGAGGCAAGCGGAGCTTCTCTTCAGATATGGAGGGCAAAAGGAAAGGAAGAAACGGACTTGGAAAGAGAGAAAGAGAAAGAGGTGGAGGCAAAGGTAGATAGAAAGACAACTTGGATAGGTTGAACAGAGACACATACAAATTGATGGAGAAATCGTATACACACAGACAAGCTCCGTCACTTACTAAATAGCTCACCCACACGAATGGGTGCTTCCCGCTTGGCATGTTGCTCCGCTGGTCTAGGGCAGCGCGAATTTCTAGAACCACAAGCGCGCCTTGCTTTTTGATTGCACGGAAGCAAGTTGGTTGGGAAACTATAGCGCCAAGATGGGCAACTTAGGGAGAGCAGGAGGACATACACATGCTGACTTAATGTAGGGGCCTCAATGATTACCGACTTCATTTTGACGTCTATATTGGATAGCCTGTACCATGCTTATCAAAGTAGTTAATTAAGTATATTTCGATAAACCATTCCATACACCAAATTTCAATTAACTTTTTCGGGTTCTTTTCCAATATTCAATATTCCGTTATTCCCTGCACCCTCAACCCCTACAGTATTGGTAACTATCTAGGCCCTACGTCACACACACTTGTTCAATGCAAAACTGCAGAACGAAAAGCTCACATTGAGCTGATCCCACTGCCAAGATTGATGGAACCTGCTTGATTGCTTGCTGCAAACAGAATTTGATGGTGGATAAGGGTCCTGTCCACCAGTTTGCAGGAGCAGACCTGTACGTCCACAGATCCATCCACCCATTCCGTTCACTTCGTTGGCTGGTATCACGGAAGGGCTGCACTTCTCTGAAACTACGATTTTGCGTTGAGGTGGGAAGGTGCAGTGAGGTATCAGCTGCAGCAAGGACAGGAAAATGCTCTAAACACCAGGCGTGTCGAATAATTGGGGGTTTCATTTTGGGAGACATAGGGGTCTCCCAAGGGGTTATATATTGGCATGTGATAGGGTTTACATAGGGATCCCGTTTCGGGAGACCCCATCACAAGGATAAGCATACATTGGGGTCTGCTCCTGGATCCCAGATTTCTACAATCTGCGACTGGAAGGGAAAGGAAGGTAAAGGAGAGCGGCAGAAGGCAAAGGAGCGAGGTTAGAGAGGGTGCGGTTGATTGCATGAGCTCGCGGAAAGCAGCAGTGACTTTACAAACCGCGCACTGTGTGGTCCACGTGTGTGAGTCAAACCCTGCTGAAGAACTCGCCTGTTAGCCCAAGCTTGTAAACACTGTGCGTTATCGCACATGGCCATCGCAAGTACTGAGACGACACAGCTCAACTTCACCCCAACCCTCGATCTCACCAATATCAAAGCCCGTTCAGTTAGTCTTCCTCAATCACAACGTCAGCCAGTCAGGGGGGACTGAGGAAGCCACAGTGAGACAGCATCTGCGTTGGGGAAGTAGATGAAGCTGGCCACGAAGATGTCGCGGGTGAGATCATCGATCCACTCAAACTCTCGAATTGTCGTCAAGATGTTGTCATCCAGGAACACCTTTCGTTTTCTAGGCTGATGTGAGGGCGCTTCGATCAAGTCACCATACTTGCTACCCCAACAGTTTCTGCATGTATCCGTACTGTGCTCATTTACTCTGGGTTCCCAGCGTCGGATGCTGCAGCTTCAAGCTTGACAAAGGCCAAGGAGGGAGGTAGGCTTGCTTCGAAACAACACTGCTGCATAGAGTAACGAATCTCAGACACTTCATAGTCGTATTACACATTCCCCCCACCCGACAATGCCAAGTCTGCCCCGAATACATTGGGTCTCCTGTGGAGGTGATTACTTCATGTTTTGGGTTAGGCGTGTGGTGTATAACATCAGTGTGACAGAATTACAGACCCTAAGCCCTAACTTTAAAACGGAAACCATGGGATGCTACTTGGTAAAGAGCTCCTCCGGCTTTTCCTCCCTGAGCCGAGGAGCACAGTAGTAGGGAATGCCATCTCGCACCGCTGGGGTGAAGCCTACGTGTGGTTCTGCTGAGTACCTTGGCTAGGCTGGCTGCGGCTGAATAGGGTTTGGGGTTTAAATTGAAGATTGGGGTCTGCAAGAGTGAATAATGAGATGGGACATTAGCTGCTCTAGGGGTTTACAAGGACAGAACCCTAGAAGTAATCCTTACATCATACTGGGGATGGAGGACACACCACTTCTAATGCTGCGCTAGCCTGAATACCCCGCACCCCCGTTTTCTATACTGGCAGTAACACTGCAAAAGGCCTAGTCTGGTTCATGCTTTTGTTTGTTAGCCTAGGCGTCGCGCAAGATCTACTCCATCCACCCTCAACCCAAAACCCGGCATTAGTTACTGTGAGGCCTCTGCAAGAACGGGTATTGGGCTTTTTGGGATGATGTGGCCTGTGTTCTCAAGCTTCTAAGCCGTTCCCACCCCCCCCCCACCGGCCCCACCCCACCAATAAGGGAAATTGCACCCCCCTGTGATATCAGGTGCTACATTGGGCGTGTTTCAAGGCGTTGAAGATAGTAGGGGAGGGAGCTAGATGTTCCTGCTCCTGAAAAGATGTCTCACTCGGGCATCTGCAACACTTTCTGTCATGATGATCATAGGTTCCCCTACTACCCTTCTCGAGCTTCACCCTTAGTTAGCCGTTAGCCTTGACTATCGCTAACTTTGGCCAAATACCCCTTTCCACGGGGCAAGCTTCGGGGTAGTTTGGGGGCCGGCGGCGTGGAGGGAACCCTTGACATGAGGGACCAACCTGCTAGCACAAGAAAGCTTAACAACAACAGAATAGCAAGAACAAGCATACGAGCCAGAATAACAGGCACAATGGTGATAAGAAGGTTACTCGCAATGATACTGTGGAGGTTTATGCATCTGGGCAACTGTTGGTCTGTTTTGAAAAAAGGTCTGAGGTCTTGGGTCTGGGGTGGGGCGGGGTGCACCAGCGCGGCTTCATCGTCGAAAGGGGACATGCCCGATAATCCTCCTAGTGCTGTTGCTTCTTGCAACCTCAAAACCTATAATACCGAAAGATCAAGAACTCTTCGACACAAGAAAAAACGAGCGAATGGCCCACACCCCTGGGGATGTAAGCCCAAAGAACCGTGGCTTTGGGCCCTAAAGTCGAAAACTTTGGCCTGTTTGGATCCCTCGGCGTGTTGATATCATTGTTACTCTCAGTTCTCATTCCGTTGCTATTCTTGCTTCTTGGATGCCAATCTAGTATAGTATAGAGTAGTGTAGGTACTCTACAGTATAAGTTAAAAAGTTTGCATGACATCATACAGTAGAAGCCCAAAAGTTGGAAACCCTATAGCCTCAATCCTTAAGAGGAATGCATGGGGAATCTCAGCACTATTTGTCCTTAATCCGGTTTCCAACTTTTTGGGCCCCTAAACCCTAAACCCTATACTATATTAAGCATCTTAGCCGAGGCACTCTTCTCCACGACAGCGGAGGATTCTCGAGTCGCGCGGCGCGTTGAGCGGCTCATTGTAGACGGGGTTGGGTTTCTGGCAGCATGGGAATTTCCGAAAATAGGACTACCATATTTGGGGTCCTTATGATGAGGAAAGTACTATTTAGGGTGGTATGTTAGGGTCCCCTATTTTCGGAAACTCCCACATGCTTCCAGGTTGCAGCGTCAAGGGACAAGATCCAAGTGTTAGGTTTCAGGCTGAGGTTTTGGCGTCGCTTGTTTGGAGTACAGAGCTTCGTTTTTGTGTAAGTTTAGTGTTGAGGGTCAGACAACAATGGGATATGATCTGTGCGGAGGCTACAGGATTGCTGCTTTTTGCTGCTCAGACTCACCTGCTTGAGCTAAGAATTGTATCGTAGACTCATGTTGCTTCCCTGCCTGGAAGTCTCTACTCTACCGCTTTTGCCCTATCTAGAGTCTTAACCCACAGCGGATAATGGTAATTCGACAAGGGTCCAAATATATTCCCTATATACCACTATCACAGGGTGTGGGGTCCTTCTAAGTAGTACTGTTTCGGAAGCAACGAGCAAACAAGCGACTTTGCATTGAATCAAGCGTCCAAGGCCCCAAGCAATCGGGGTTGTATGGGGGTTATGTAGGGGTTGTAAGGGTCTGTTATGGGGCTTACGTCCCAAATGCTATCAGCTGAATAGCTTCTGGCACCTGAAACCCCACAAGGGCACAACGACCCCTCAGAGGATTCTGATGCCCTTCTTGCCCTGTTTCAATGTAAAAAATTATGAGGATCGCAATTCCGCCCGCACCTGTGGTTGGGACAAGAGCACGCATGACCTATACCCCACATGCCAGCCTGTGAATGTGGGTTTGGGAGTCTTGATAGATTGCTCTTTGCACCTATGACCCTTGGATACTGTAGAGACCCAAATAATTACCAATATCGTTCGGGCCTGCCTGCCTGCCTGAGGTACCCCACACCACAGCAGTACAAGGAGCTTGGCAGCATCTTGGTCATGATTTAAGCCTCTACATGGGGGTTTCCGAAAACATTTAGTATAATAGGATCCTTATTATACGGACCCTTAAATAAGGTACCCCTAAAATTCGGAAACTCCCACATATCTCCAACCTCTCGCTAGAAGCAAGTGCGGACAGGTCTCCTGTGCGTTGTAGCTGTCCACGAACTGGGAATCGCAGTCCTTCTCGACGTTCCGGGACTGGCAGATAAAGGGGAAGCCCACCTTGGAATAGAGATTTTGGGTTCGAGGTTTAGCTTTTTGGTTTAGGGGCTTTCAGGCTTTGAGCTTTAGGGCAGATTCGACACTGGCGTTCCCTTCCGGCAGCGTTCAGGTGGCCCGCACAAGAGTCAGCAGCCCTCCTTGAAGTCCAAAAATATGGGGCCCCTTATCATTAGAATAGGGTTTGGGGGCCATTACACTATACAATTATACAGTAATCAGGAACCCCCACAATAGTATCGGTAATTATTTAGGCTTCTATATTAAGCTGTGGCTGCCCTGAAGATCCGCAAAAGGTTCCGCAACTTTGGGTAAACCCGCACATCCCTTGTGCAGCTCTGGCACGGAGGAGGCCGTCATAGAGAACGGCCGATAGCGAACAAAGAGATCTGGAACCCCATTATTGTCTTCGGTGTCGAAAACTGACACAGGGGTAACCATCCACAGCAAACAAAGTCGCATGCACATCATGTCTCTTTCCCTCCTGGCCTGCTGCACACGGATTGAAGACATCAGTGACACCATCATCATTTGATTCTCCATTGCCAGAGTCGAAAACTGGCAGGGGGATGCAAGCACGCCGAACGAACATCATGCAAACCATGCGCTGGCCCACGCAGCCTGCTGCACAAGGGTTGAAGACATCAAGGACGCCGCCTCCTCAGACTGCTCAAGAGCCCTAACCTGTTTTCATGGCTAAGGAACCAAGGTGCCCAATGGCTGGTGAAGCCTGAATGCAGCCGGAGTTCCGGTATCATTGGCATCGGAACTGCGCGCAAGCGAAATGCTTTTGGGGGGTAGCCAGGGTTTCAGCAACATAAGAACAGTAATGGCACATGGTAAGAATAGTACTTCTAGCACTGGAAATACTCACAGTATGCAGGTTTTTGGGCTTGTGAGGTGGGATGGCTTGGAGCTAGGCTTTTTGCGTAGACGTCAGTGTTCCAGACCGCCGTAGCTGCAGAAAAAAAGCGACAAACCCAGCCCGACCATGCGAGTGTAGGAGTATAGTTCGCACGTCTACAAAAGTCGAAGCCGCCGATATGGTCCCGGACGATCTACCTGCCTGGATGCACAAGCCCTACCGCCAAACCTTAAACCTAAAGCCTAAACCCTAAATCCCTCAACCCAAAAACCGTAAAACCCTCAAACTCCCAAACCCTGAATCACCAGGCCCGAAAACCCGAATCCTAAACCCCTGAGGCCCAACTCCCGAACCCTATCTAAATCCGCAAATCCCTAAGCCCCAAAACCCAGACCCTAAATCCCTGAACCCCATAACCCACACCCTAAACCCCTAAACCCTAAATGCCCTAAATCTCAAAGACCACATGCCCAGATCCTAAATCCCTAAAACCCGTCCCTAAGCCCCACAATCCGAACCCTAACTCCTAAAAATAGCTAAGACGACCCAAAACCCACATCCTAAACCCCTAAACCAGAAATTCCTGAGCCCCGAAGCGTCTTGATCGCGGTGGCCTCTGCAAGCTTCTCAGAACGCCATCGTGGAAGGAGCCACCCCTCGAACTGCAGGAACATGGGTGTAGGTGTCAGGGCTTCAAAGGCTTCGGGTTTAGGGGTTTAAGTTTCAATTGTTCAGGGTTTAGGGTTTAGGGTTTAGGGCCTGGGGTTCAGGGTTTCACAAACAGTGGCAAGAGTTTGCACAAGGACCCTTTCATGGGTTATAGGGACGTGTAGAGTTTAGGCGGTTGTTGCTTGCTAGGTCAAAGAAGTTTAATTAGTCGGTTTTGAAATCCACTCCCCAAATATTGAAACCCGCCAGCCCCAACATGAAATGAGGGTCTCGTAACACCAGCGGACTCAAGATCATCTTTGAGGGTTTCAAGGACACGGTCGATGGTGGAAATCCTGCACCACCCCAAGTTCCCTAAATTCTAGGACGGAGGAATTACAATAGTTTCAGGGCCCCAGGTCGTGCAACACTTCTTCCATGATCAGCATGTAGGGTAGAGGGATGTAGAGTTCAAGGATTGGGGTTTAGGGCTTGAAGGGTTGAACAAGGTGGGCGCCCTACTATGTAGAATACGGTTCGGGGTGTAGCGTGCCAGAGTTAAAGAAGGGTTTTTTATGCGACAGCACCGGTAATGATCCGGGTTCTGATAATAAAGCAGCACACCCGGCAACATTCATAAATTCACATTGGGGTATGAATTTTTTTTACTCAGGAGGATAGTTCTAATTCGGGGAAGGCGTTTCCAAACACATAAAAATACAAAAAACAGGTACTCTTCAAGAGGTTGAAAGGGCTATGGAACACGATACATAAGGATTAAGGATTGGGCTTAGGATTAGGGAGGTCGTGCGGATATGATTCAGGCTTTAGAGATTGGGTGTTGTGGGGCTGTAGGGATAATAGGGCTGAGGCTGTGAAAGCAAGGTGGACTGCAGTCTACAATGAGATTACGTGTCCTGGTTGAAGATTCTGGAAGGGTAAGTTTGAGCAGGGAGACCATGCAGCATGCAACACGGATCTGGTAAATTCGGCTTTGTGTGCGCCCTGTTTTATGCGGGTGTTCGTCAATGGTCAGATTCCCGAGAGTGGCAGCATGCTAGCAGTACGCTGCTGTACTGCCAGAGAATCTGGGTTACTTAGCTGAATCATTGCCGGAAGGGACGTGTTAACTTGTGGCGTTCACCAAGCTTAGCGCTTTGAAGGGTATCTGAGCAAACGGCAGACGCGTTTTCCAGAAGAGCCAAGGAACCTTGCATAGCTCGCGTTGTGGCTGCCACCTTCACTGAACACATGGATCCAAGTGTCCCCATGCCACATCGCACACCCTGAATGCTTGACAAACATGAGAGCACCAGCACGCCAGTAGATAGCAACCCCCAACATTCCCGGGAGCCGAGTACCCATTAATCAAGGCTAATACCGTAAATCATACGCGGAGCTCGACTGTAACAACTTCATTCTTAATGTCTTTGAAACTCTCTGGGTGCACCCATCAGCGGTACAGGAACGCCTGCATGGCACTCCGTAGCGCCCACCTCACAGCCCGGGCAGACATGTGCAGATGTGCTTGACCACAACATTCGACGATCCAACGACTCATGATATGGGAGTTTTTGACAATAGGGAACCCTCATATAGTACGCTGAATAATAGGATCCTGCTGTTAAGGACCCTAAATAAGGTCCCCTGCCCTAAGTGTCGGAAGTGGAGCTTCCAATGTGTCGTGGGGCCGTGGGGGTCCGACTGTGCCTTTGGAGCAGAGCTGCCAAGTCCTCCAACTTTGCCCCATTCCGCCTCTTCGGGGCCCATTATACTTTAGTTCTGATAAGGAACCTCCAAAATAGTATCGCTAATGAAAGCCCTCATTAGCCACGTCTCTTCTATTCCACAGCAGCCAAGCAGCCGACGTCACTCGATCGCTGTCCAAGACTTTCGCAACCTCTTTTCAGCATCATCTGCAAATCTACAAGGCATGGTTACGATTATTAGTCGTTATTCTTCTTGATATTAGCATTATTCGTATCATTTTATTACTATGTTTCCGTGGGACCTTCCGCATGGGGTATTGGCATCTCTCAAGAAAACCACATAGGATCAAAGTCACAACGGGGCATTGTTGAATTGTCAGTGCCAGGAGCGGCATGAACAGCAAGCACCAGATGGGCACAACTCCGCAAGAAGCTCAACCCTAAACCCTAAACCATCCAGGCCACGCCAGCAGCCTTCATTGGATTGTTGAAGTAAGGATGGTCTGGGCATCCGTGTGAAAGAAGAAGCCATTCACCCTTGCTGGACCTTCTGCGCACATACGCACTGGACGCACTGCCTACAGGTCATTTTGCTCAATCTGTTTCCGGATGTCAGCAACGGCTTTCCCAAATCCTGAAAACGAACGTGGCGCGTTGACAACTAGAATCCTAAAAAACAGGATTCTTCGAGCTCTGCATTATCGACTTGGGAAGACTAGCAATGAGAATCCTGTTAAGTTTTGCGCACAACACAGCCCAGTCGTTCAACAGGGAAACACACTCTAAATAATGGCCCCTAACCTGGACTAACGTAATGGGTTTGGGGTGTCGCGTTGAAGGTTGTGCCGATTGCGGAGAAGGATTAAGCTATGCAGCAGTCTCCTGCAAGAGAGATAATGTAGAATCAAGGGGAAAGAAGATGGATAGTTAAACGGAAACTGAGATTGAAACCACTGCTTTCTTGCGAGTGATCAATATCTCCAGGTAGTTTGTCTAGTCAGTCGAGACCAGTTACTACTCACTTGGTAACCGCAAACACACCCCAGCTACAGGCCCCGAGGGTTGTAAGTACATTTCCTGATCGATTGTACTTGCCCCTGGACGTCCAAGCACCTGTTGCGGCATGAGCGATTGTTTAGATTCTTCAATCGGGCGGTGGCTAGCTGTAGCTGTATGTGACGACGCACCTTACAAGGCTCTTTTCTTATGCCATCCAATTGCAAGGAAGTTGTGTTGACATCTGCTTGTTTCTCCAAGCAAGAGTAGTGCCAAAATAGCCTAGATTCATTAGGACAGGGGCGCGCAAAGGCAACTTTCGAGATTGCCTGCTTGATCTAAGTATCCGTATATGCCAGAAAGTTGTACCACACCATTGCTGTTCAGCGCAGCATGAAAGGGCAGAAACCAATAGCATTTTCACCTCAAGCTTGTATAGGTTGGTGTGACCGAAACCCTATTGCGCTCTAGAGCCTGGCTTGAACGCTGCATGTGACCAAATCCCCCTCCTTGTGAAATCAAGAAGCTGCAGTATCGTATTTTTAGTCATACTGCAAGATTCTATGTTGGGAGTTTATTTTTCGGGGGAGGTCGGTGTCACCATGTCGTTTTGGCAGGCCCAAGACGCATGAATGAAGCAAAAAGTGTGATCCCGTGGCTGGAGTCATTTTTGCACTGCCCTATATCCCCCGATTGTTGGCATTTACAGCTTGTTGTTACTTTAAGTGGTGCAAGATTACACCAACTCCTACCATGAGTTTCCTGCGGATCAGGATGCAGCTCGTCAAGTCTAAATATCTCCCACAAGGGGCTCCGACTTCTGAGAACAGCCTTATGCAACCCCCAATTCCATGTGGGTAGTTCTCTAAACTAGAGCTCGTTTTTTGTTCGGTCCGCAAGATGGTGCGGCACCCGTATAAAAAGGGCGGATTCTAAGAGAGATCCTAAGTTAGATACATGCATGTATACAATGCCACCCTCCAGCAACCTCGCAAAGGGCCAACACCTTTGGGGCATCCTCTGTTTCTACTCCCAGTTTCCAAAAACAGGGGACCCCATTGTAGACGACCACATACTATATAACCCTTTCGATGGGGACCCCAATCTCACGCCTAGAATACCTCGACAATACGTATGTCTCTACATACTCCGACAGAACCATCATATCCCCCGTTTCAACAGGGACTCTTTCATTTGCTGGACCAAGGGACGTCCCTTTGGGCGCGGCCATGCTTAGGCTAGGCTCTCCCCGTACACGACAAGGATTGCCTTAGCCAGAGTTCAGAGTATAGTATAGGGGCCTTAATAATTAGAATAAGGTTTTTGGGCCCATTATGCTGTAGGAACTCCCGAAATAGCATTGGTAATTATTTATGCTCCTACAGTACAAGGGTTTAGGGTTTCTTTGGGTTCGTTGTTAAAGTGCGGCAAAATCGATTCCGATACAAGATAATTCTCATTCTGGGCACCCCCAAAAAAGGACCCCGACTGAACGGAAGCCCTGGCCTATGATTTCCCTGCGTACCTCTATAGAACCCTGTATCCCTTTCTGGGTGCCCTACTCTGGAAAACCCTCCGAGGATGAATCCAGCGGCCTTAAGAATTAGAATCGGGTTTTGGGGTCCATTAAAATATACTACAGTTACAATAAGGAACCCCCCCAAAATAGTATGGGCAATTCTTATGGCCGCTATATTTACATTCTCTGTGCGCTTGCGGATTGCTTGCAGGTAAGCCGCCGGGATCCTCAAATGCCACCTGCCATTGCACAGCTGAGCTAGGCTTCTAATCTCTATCCTCCAAAATGTATACCTCGCCCTGAGAACAAACATTCCCAATACACCACCTTATATATATATATATATACCAGGGGAAATGTTATTTTCAGGGTTTTGAGGGGTTTGGTTATTCAGGGAGTGGTTTAAGCAACAAAGATGCCAGGCTCCCAACCCGTTTGACTGGATTGAGGTGGGGCTCCGAATGGCTGGGCTATCTTGCAGAGAAGGCCGGAGCCACGTATCGAGAAGCCATATCATCGACGGGATCAGGTGAAAGATCAGACTTACACAAAGGAAGCTCTGCACTAACTTCAGAACACATGCTGACCCTCTCCACCTGTGCAGGTCGTAATCGGAAGCACTGAGGGAGGAAAGGCTCAGCGACGGACCAAACGTAGTGATACTCCTGGCATCACCCGTGTGCTCTGCTGATCCCCTTCCTTTCTACTCTACTGCTTGCTGCCAGGAAACTTGAACTCAGCTATCATAACATGGATGCGTAGGTAAAGAATGAAAACATCGGGTCCGTATGTGGGGAACGCAGCTAAACTTCCTCAGCAGCAACACGGTCTGCAAACCTTTACCGTCCTTCTCGCCGCTTGCATTCATCTCCCACCGGCCATTGCATTCATCCAGCTCGCTCACGTCGACAAGGCGGCCATCGCGTCCGTACGGGCCGTGGATAGGGACGCCGTCCTGGAGACCCAGTAGGGCAATGCTCAAAACCTTCGTAAGCCACCCTAAACCCTAAACCCTAAACACTGCTTCTTCCATTATGATGCTTGCTAAGCGCCTTTGACCTCTCGATGGCCGTCTCCAGCTGTGGGTTCAGGGTTCCGGGGTAACCTGAAGTTTGGCAGCTGGACGTCTCAGAGTTCGGAATTGAGATGGGAAGTCGGCACCCCAAGATGGGGCATGCAGCTACTGTTGATGGACAAAATCCTGCATTACCCTTTATAAAGAATATACCATAGTTGCCATATGTAAAACGTCTTAACCACTTGTGAGACCATTGGGTTGGCAACGGTGACGGTAACCCATGTATAAAGAGCTGAAGGCACGGTTCGAGTGGGTTCATTAAACGGGATGTATTGTATTACCTAGCTCCTACACACCAGAAACCAAACTGAATCCTTAGAACCCTGGACCCTAATCCTTAAGTACACCCGAATCCCTAACCGCAATTTCCTAAACCCTTACCGCAACCTGCAGCCAGCCCTCGTTGGTGCGGATGCTACACCCCAAACCCCAATCCTCAAACCCTGTTTTTGCTACCTTCATCTCTGAACGACCATCCCTAAACCCTAAATCCCAATCACTACCCAGAGGCCCCATAGTAGTTCCTTTTTGGGATTACCTTATAGGATTCTATATACGAAACCCAAAAAGGAACTGCTTTGGGGCCTTAGGGTAAACCCTGAAAGGGAGTGAAAGCTTGGCAGTCCAGAGCGTAGCCGAGGACTGGCGAGGGCTTCGACAGTGTCGGCCAAAACGCCATTGGGTCCTGATTTTTAGGGGTTTAGGATCTATGTAGGACTGTATTCACACGAGCTATAGTTTGAACGCCTTGCTAGAATAGGACCCGTATACAATCCCGATATATGTCCCCCTACAGGGAGTTTCGACTGTAGCTCACATGGTATGGTATGGCTTTCACATTTGGTAGGTTTTGTTTAAAGGCTTCCTACGTCCCCTAAGGGATCCTAGGACCCGATGAAAGGGGAAGAAGGGCCCGCTGCAGAACGAAGTGGTACCAAGAACCATGCTATGATGCTATGACCCCCTACATACCTACATACCCTAAAACCTAAGCCCGAACCCTAACCCCAAACCTATGCAAGCCCTAAACCCTAAACCTGAACCACAAACCCTAAATGGCAGTTTCATTCGTTGCCATTCTACCGGTCTGGCCCTGCAAACCCCCCCCCCTACACGAAAATGCTTCTGCAAAGACTTCAAGGAAACTCCGCCAATCCCTACACCCAAAACCTTACCACGCCATCCAGCTGCAGACTGCGCCCACCAATCTGTACGGCCGGGAGAGGCCAAGCCTGTTGTATGGAGGCGGGTGAAGAATTCGTGGGTTCAGGTGAGAGGCGAATTGGAAAACCATGTCCTTCTAGGCACGGGGACAAAAAACCCACCTAGGACTAAGAAGCCCCGGTACAGGATGCGGCCTGTTGCAACTAGCTCAATCTGGGCTTAAGGCTTAACATGGTTTAGGGCTTAGGGCTTAGGGTTTATAGGGCTGAGGGAGTTTAAGGTTTAGGGCTTACGGCCTAGGGCAAGGTTTAGGGTTTAGAAAAGTTGGGGCCGGCGCATGATTGAAAATCAAAGGGACAAAGGGACACGATGGTGGACAAGTTCATGGAAACTGGGTTCTGTTAGGGGGCGGTATAAAGAAAAATCCATCTGAGTACTCTAGTCATGCAAGGAACCTACGAGCATAATGCTGGACATGGCTTCGGCCGCTACACTATCGGAACTGAGCGAGACCGCAAGGTCAGAGAGCGAAGGCTTCGGATTGACACAGCTAGTTGGCCGCACATCCGCGAGCTCATCAGCACTGGGGGCGTCATCAGCCCAGGGATTTTCTTACCTGAAGATTTAAGAGACATAGCAAGTAGGTTATAAGGTCATAAGCAATTTAACTCCATCTAGGGGACTTCTACCTCCATGTATATACTAGAAGGGGCCCCCACCCTGTAATAGTGGTACAATAGGAACATAATAGGGCCCTAATATAATCCTTCTAGTCACTATCACAGGGCGGGGGCAGCTTCTAATGTATATACAACCTGCTTACTTAGTCCCCGGAGCCTTCCTGTACATGCGACACGTCACAGGCAGAGTTCCCCGGCCTTGAGCTGACAAATAGCAGGAGGCCGGGAAGTGGTAGTGGTAGTGCCCATCTGAGTCCACATGCCCGCCACAGTCGTCGAAATGCCTTGGGACAGGCTTATGGTTTTGGGGGTTTATACAAGGGTTCTACAGGACATTACGGCGACATCTAAGGTTTCGGGTGCATGGCTTTCCCAAAGCCTCGTACGTAGTTCGTTTTTGGGATTGCTATGCCTATTTTGGTAGGGGATTCGATTTGCCGGCCCAGAAGGAGCTACACAGGAGGCCCTGAGTGTACATGAGAGTTTCCGAAAATAGGGGATCCCAATATAGTATCCTAAAAAGGAGGATCCTTATTCTAAGGGCCCCAAAATATGGCACCCCTAATGTTGGGAAACTCCCACATAGCTTGGTACATGAAGGCAGGAGAGGGCTGGTCAGCACACTTCATCACAAGACAGCAGTCGCATGGAGAGGGGCCAGCTTAGCACTGTCCCAGAAAGCTCAATATAATTGAAGTCAGGAAGATACTACCAAAAATCATCGTAGTAGGATGCCTGATGTGATTTGGGGAGTCTTCCATGACAAGGACTTTTTTGGGCTGCCTGAGTTGGTTTTTGAGAACAGGCCGACTAAGCCGCCGCACAAAACCTTGCGAAACGAAATGAGAGAACCACGAATAACATATTGCTTCCCATCTTCTTTTCCTTGCTAAGCAGAGATAAGAAAATCCAAGGGCCAGGCCATGACGTTGGCATGGAGTGGCCATGATGCTGATGGGCTCCGATGAGCAAAACTCCATTCAACGCCTAAGAGCATGCATTCAGGGAGTTGTCTGCATTCTGGCACCGCTTTTGGGAATCCTAGATATTGGGAGCCATATTATAGTGGGGACCTTTGAAGGAAACGCAGTGTTGACGGCATACCACATCAGAATCGTAACTCTTTCGGTCCAATGCCCGCACTAAACCCCTCATCGGGGGAGCACTTTGCTCCGCCAAGGCCAACTAAAGGGGGATCCTGTTTAGTTCCTTTCTGGGTGGTTTGTGGTTTTGGGTAAAGGATTACATCATGCGCGGGCCTGTAGGGCTTAGGGTGAAGATCATATACTCCGCTTCGAGGAACTGCTTGAAAGTTAGAAGGCGCTGTGGGTAATTTGAGGGTTTACAAACGACGGTCCTGGAACTCTTGGAGGTCTGTCGCACTGCAACCTACTTACAACCTGCGCTTATAAGCAGGCTCGAAATCCTATAGTTGGAATGTTGCAATCCTTGGGATACCAAGTAGGTCGTCGAAAGCCGACCTCCAAGGAACTCCTAAACCCAGAAACCAGTTTCCATTGATCTTCCTTTTCGCTTGCAGCTGATTCTATACTATATCGCTAAACTGGGCAGAGTACCCTGAACCCTAAACCCTACTGGGCAGAGTACCAGCGACTCGTTCTTGGATGCTGGGCTTCAACAGGAGCCCGATTGCACTTCGAGCGATCATCTTTTACTGTATTAGGGTTCCTTATACTTATAATATGGTCATGGTGCATGAGCGCTACATCACATTGTTAGTTCAATCTTTGGGACTGCGCGACCGAGGGAATCTGGCAAGTCGTGCAACCCCATGCATCATGAATACCTACATATAGACACACACATGTATATATACACACATGTGCATATGTTTCGCATAAATCTGTATATGTACATATATGTACCTATAAATATATGTATATACAGTATATAGATAGCAACAGAACTTCAAGTTCCTGAGGCCCCTGAAAAACCACCAGTTTCCCAATCCATCTGCTTCTGCATTTTGGTATCTTAACTCAAAACAACAAAACCTGTCATGGCCACTAAGTTCCTTGACTGGCAAGTTGCGAATCCCACAATCCCGGACGTGTTCGCGAGAGTGAAAGGGGCGTTGGTCGCCGAGGCCTCCGCTGAGATTGGTAGCTTGGGAATGTCGCAAAACCGGGGCCGTTAGGGACGCTGGGATATGTCGTGGCTGTAAAGGGCGTAGGAAGTCTCTATTCTGAATTGAAAACGAATCAGTTTGAGTACAAAGGGAGACTTTGGAAAACGCCAAGAAATAATATTGTTTAACAGAGGAAGTGGATCATTCCATAGGGACTACTGTGGGCTACAAGTACATCTTTGTCACCCCCGTTGAGCTCGAGAATGGAAGCAAGAGGATGTTGCTTCCACAACCCCTAGACTAAGGATCCTCCAAGAGAGAGTACGACAATCATAGGGGTTGGGGATCCGGCTTCGTTCACAAGGTTTAGGGTCAAGGGTATGCCTAGGTTTTACGGTGCAGAGTTCAGAGTTAACGTTAGGGTGTTTGGGCAACTTGCTCACGAGCTTCAATCGTCCCTCCTTGGGGAAGAATCGAAATCGCACGTCTTTCAAAGCGACGATTCTCTGATCCTACGCCCCTACTCCATAGCCTTCAAAGCTTGGGCAAACCCTTAAATCCTACAACCCCCAAACCCTATCAACCGTATTAACCCTACAAACCCTAGAAGCCCCATAAACCCTATAGAACCCGATAAACCCTTAAACCCTAAACCCTTAAACCCTCAACCCCAAACCGTATAGAACCTTATACACCCTTAAACCCAGGGCCATAGTCATGGATTGATCGAGGGGCAGCTTCGCTCGATGCCACTTGGGGAGGACGCAGCGACGCTGATGCGTGGCCTGACGCTCAGCCATTGAGGTGTAAGAGTGCTTATATATGGGCCTTTTAGGAGAATCTCTGCAAAGCCCTACGTAAGAACATGCTTGATTCTGCATTGTTACCTACAGTTGCGGCTTCTTCTAGGTCTCTTCTGGGGACAACGCTCTTCAACCTCCGACTTCCCACCTCTGGGAGCTTAAGAAAGGTCATCCTCAAGCACAAGGCGGTTTGGGGTTTGTGGTTTTAGGGTTTGCCTCCATATCATGTGTGTTTAAACTTGAAACGTCATTTTTCTCTTGGCACCGGGACAGCTCTCATAACAGTTGCCAGGTTTAGCCGAAGGAGTTTGAGCCTTGGTTGGCGCATGGCTCTGTTTGAGGCACTCTGTACTCTAAGTCTATAAGTGCAAACGGAATATCTGACCATAATGTTGGAAATGATGCAGGCCCATGTAGTTGAGCATTTCCATCTTGGCCGTGTGCAAAGGGAATGTAAAACTAACTCATGCCATTTTTGCGGACCGTGGCGAGATACCCTATACCTATAGTGTCCATTGTAGTTCCTTTTGTGTTTGGCCAACACTACATTGAGGATCGTATAAGGTATCCCCGAAAACGAACTACAATGGAGCGCCCCACAGGTATACCTTATGAGGAGTCTAGGAGCAAATCTGCTGGGTGAAACTCTCAGGGCTTTTACGTGTTACGCAGCCCCTCGCTGAACCCATAACAAAGCCAAACCCCAAAATGCCCGAAACAGAACCATATCAACCCTAAACACCCCATACACCACATAAACCTATGAGCTCTAGGCCACACTTGAGCTGCAGCTGAAAGACGCTGTCGTGGTGCTCTTGGCGACTTTGCGGCCTTGGCTTCCCTCTCGTCCTCCCAGGATGGGCCGTTTCTGTCGGGGTTGGGTGCTTATGGGGTTTCGGTTTTGGGGGTTATAGGGTTGTAGACTACTGCCTGCCCTTTCCACAAAAGGGCTGTATAGGGATCCATGCTCGTTTGGGTGAAGGTCGGCCTTGCAATTCCCTAGAAGGAGCCTAAGAAGAGCAGATGAAAGGGCTTATCAGGTCTACAGCTGCGAGGATATTCAGAGTGTTGGGTTAGGGTTTAGGGTTTAGGGTTTGCCTCTGACTTCTGTGAAGAAGATGGGTCAACATCTAAGGTACAATCCGAACCCCTGGTATCCTACAGAGATGCGCACAAAACCCAACGCAACATGAACCCGGCCGACCTCCTTCAGGCGTCGCCAGGATGAACCAGACGAGCTGTTCGAATTGTTGTTGTCGTTGTTGATAATGGCATCGCGGAGCTCCTATCAGGGGGCTCAGAGTTTAGGGCTAAGATCGAGACCCTCGAGGACCCGTGAAGGTCAGTAAGGTGCAGATCTTCAACACATCTGGAAGGGTGGGGAGGCAAGCGAAGGACCTTGCAGTCCGTCTGGCAAAGAAGCTTACATGTCCTCTATGCCTCTATGCAGGTGAACTTTCAGCACCAATCCCGCTCTCCTGAACCATGTTGAGCAAAGCTTCGCCTTGGTCGCGGCACACGCCAAACGACGGTGGACTTGCTTAGCCCTGCTTGAATTTTGGGATCCTCTTCTACGCCCTGGTTCCCCCTTCCCCAATAAGCCCTTATCAGACCCCAAAGAAGGTCTACTCTGGCGAGAGGGAGCAGCATGGGATTCTACCTGGGACCTATGACCAACCCCATTTCTAACCTACTTACCAAGCCCCCTGAGCCTTTAAGTCAGGAGTATACCTCAAATCATATGAGGGATCCTACTACCATCTGGGGCAGATTCTGTAAGAAAAGGCAGGTCCCAATTTTCTTTTCCCGTCCTTAGTTATTTGGAGACCTCAGCATAATGGGAATTTCCAGTTGCTTTTCCGCTCTTCAGCGAAAAAAATCTGCAAATTGGCTTGTTTGCCAGCTGAGGGTCTCTGAGCATCCTGGATCCGCTGGTTGTACACGTTGTAGTGATCCTCGGTGAGATCTATTCTCCGATGAATTTCTGCATTAAAGTGTTGATAGGCGTACTATCGTGTTTCATGCAGGGCCCTTTTACGTTGCACGGCCCGCACACAAAATGAGTTTAGCTGATTGTTGGGGAATAAACGACAAACTAACAAGCGCCAAAGGTACTCTCAGAACTAAGTAATTAATTGACGCCAAGTTACTTGTACCTTTTTCATATCCTTAATTGCTACGTCCCATGAGTATTGAAGTAATAGTTCTGCGTATAATGGATACCAGGTTGAAACCATTCTACCCCAAACCCCAAGCGAATTGGGGGGCATTTAAGGTTTAGGGGTTTACAGTAGGTGGTAGGGAATAAGGGGATATGTTGGATAGGCTTTTGGCACCTGCAATACGGTCTCGTTTGCGCCGCCCCTACACTCGATACGACCCCATATTGTCCCTATGTAACCCATTTGCAGAATGGCACAGCCGAGACTCCAGAAAGGCCTTGTCCGGTATCTCACCTGGCGAATGAGGGCACCGTTGTCATGGCTGTGGAGGGGGAAATCTTGCACCATCCAATGCACTCTACACCCTGGGATTTACTGAAAGTGAGAGATCCTAAGTGGTGCCAGGCATCCTCCTCCACCATTGTCGAGCAGCTGCAGAAGAAATCAACCCCTCAATGCGAATACTAACCCACCCGCAATAATGAATCAGCGGGAGATACTACCATTATACAACAGGGGGAGTATGCATGATCGGGGGGCATATGCTGGGGAGGTTCTCTTTCCGGGGGAGGTGATTATATATATATATATACGTACATATCAGACTTTAGGGTCAAACTTGGGGCCCCCCCTGTTGAGTGAAACTACCATATCACAGATACCATCCGATTATATCCGAATGCCATTGACATGCCAGGCGTGTGCTTCTACAAGTGTGCGCGAAGAGGGCCCATGGCCTAAGCATGGTTTGGGGTCTAGCTTTCCTGTTCCTGCACACACCCAAAACCCTAAACCCTACAGTATACTAGCATGTGCAGTGTATGCCTACAGTTCCACCCCTTGAGACACGCATCTTACGGACCAGACCTTGATCTCGCCGACACCTGATCTTGCCAACCTCAGGTACGTGGCACACGATCATGGGTTTAAGCTTCATTCAGCATAAAGTAAAGGGGGCTGGGTTTAGTACCCCATCCTTACTTGCTGAGGGAAGGGAACACATGTCTATGCGATGGTATTTGGCGCGAAACCATGCCGCGAAAAGCAAGAACTCGACTCTGTAAGAGGATCTGACGTGCCTTATTGGGGCCCTACTGTTAGAGGATGCGTCGCCGTGGGCTGCATTTTTCGATCATTTTAATTTGCTTTGAATCATGATGTGCTTTTTTTTACAGGCTCTTGTATTGGGATGATTGTGCGGATCCACTCCCCAAGCCCGGTACACTCCCGCACATCAACAAGGAAACCTGTGTCAACAGTGCAGCACCCCTTTTACAGTCTTTCAAGGGTCCCTTTAAGGCTTCCATGTTAGCTAGTGGGAGGGTAAGTCGGATCTTCGTGGGAGCTAAGGTTTGGTTCTGGGCTTCGAGTTGAAAGTTATGAGGGGTTGCGGCTTTACGTGAGCTACAAACCAAAGGAAGCTAAGTCAATAGGACCTGCAAGAACTGCTGGAACTTCGACTGTCCTATGTGGTTCCGTTTTGGGCAGAATATGAGAACCCAACACCCCAAACCCAAAACGAACCCTAAACAGAACGACATAGGAGCCCTAGAGGAGCCACAACCAAGAAACATGGAAAATACAATGCCGAGGTGCAGGTGTTGGAAGTGCATCATCCTCTGCACACCAGTGGTAGATGTTGAGAGGATCGAGCTGTGCCTATTGCAAGCAGGAGCATCCTGTTTTGAGCTGACATTCCGGGTGAGCTTTGCGCTATGTTTATTCGTGCTTTTGCTGCTTCTTCCTCTGCTGCTTTTCGCTAATTGCTGATTTTCACTGCTGATTTGGCGAAAAGACTGAGAATGCTTGGCGAGATGGTTGGTGAGGGTTTTCAGCAAGCACATCGGGGCCTGTCACAAAAACATCGGTTCCCGCAGACTGCAGGCCTAGCTGTCCACCATGAGCTGTGGGCAAATGCTGGGGACGACGCTACAAGAGCAAATCGTCCTCGCCAACCGTGAATCTGATACTCTAGGCCCGGCCTTAAGGATTAGAATAAGGTTTTGGGACATTTTGGACTATAATTGTAAAACGGAACCTAAGATTTGGGGCCATCTTGTACTATAGTTGTAAAACGGAGCCTCAGACTAGTATGAGTAATTATTCCCGCCCCTATGTTAGTAGCTCACATCCGACAACCAAGTTCCTTGCAACAAGTGACAAGTAGGGCAATGTCAAACTTACTGATCAACAGTTGAGAGCTCCAACTTCCAGATGAGGACAGCGTGGCCCGATGCGGGTGGGTTCTGGTATGAAGGCTCACCATAGGCTGATAATGTGGTAGGCAATGGGGTAGAGTAGACTCCCCATAGCTCCTTGTGTCCCGCCAATCTCTACAACCCACGAACAAAGACCCTAAGCCCTAAATCCCTAAACCCTGAAACGTAGTGCAGCCGGGGGGCATTGGAAATCACGAACGTATCCAAGTACTCGATGAGCTCTGGAATCTGTCGGATGCCGTACACCTGAGTTTTGGGATGCAAACAAAACTAAGCCTGTACATAAGTACCCAAATTGGGGTTATAAGTAGTTATAAGCATAGCTCCTCATTTATAACCCTAGCTACTAAGCCCCATGATCCTTTAAGAACCCGAAGCATATTGCAAGCCCGAAGCTTCAACGAACCCTCGACTCGTAACCCCTAAACCGTTTCTCAGAAGAACAAAGCACATGTTTCAAGCCTACCCGTGCACCGTTGAGTGTGCTTGCAATGAAAAATGCAGCATCCTAAACCGTGAAAAGGCTTTCAAAGGAGCCCTCTTGCAGGATTGGCACTTTGAGATCAGGGCTAACAGGGGTGCCTCAACGAGTAGCAAGATCACAAGATTTCATGGAGGCACCCCATGCCATTATTCTACTAGGAACCTGGCACTCCACAAGATGGGGGCTTGGGGTTTAGGGAGTTATGTGGGTAGTTGTCAAAATTAGGGTATCCTTTTGGGTCCTTATGATACTGCGGCACCAAATATTTAGGGTATCCAAAAAGGGGCCATACTTTTGACAACTACCCATGTAAGCCCCTGCATTAGCAATGTAGCCCAGTGGCGTTGTCCAAGTGGAAGTGGTCGCCGAGGCGCAGGTGGATTCCGGAGAAATTCGTGGGATCGTATTCAACCCTGGGACAACACTGGATGTTCTTCTACGTCTACTCTGCATAGGGAACACCCTCCGCCATAGACAGATGGAGCCCCATCCAGTCCTGTTCTTTCGATAGTTGGGGAGGATCCTGGACACAGTCAGAACCCATCTCGCACATCCTGGAAGTCTGCTTGGGTCGACGTGGATTCATGACAAGGCAAATGTCTCTCTACAAGTTCCAGTTTGTAGGAGATTGCCTCGTGCACCCCTTAAATCCTCTTAAACCCTAAACCGTTTCGCCAAGAGGCTGCTGGATGGCGATAAACAATCCGAAGCATACCTGCAGTGGCTGAATCTGCAGATGGCTAAGTACCCTGACCCAACAAGGGTTAAAACTCGCAAATTTTGGTAGAGATCTGAAAAAACCAAAAGGTGAAAGGTTACCTACTACCCAGCCCCCAACCAGACATCGTTGGCGTTCCGAAACCCCATGCTTGACCTATGACCTTTTGGTTGACGTATGGGCCCAGCCGAACAGAGAATGAGACCCTAAAATCTGCCTGTAGCCGAAAGACAAACTTTTCAGGGTGCCTCTTTGTGGCTTTTTTTGTATACTCCCTTAGAAAAGTGTAGGTCTTTAGGGCCACCATTACAAGTTTACCCTGGAAGCGGCACCATAGCTGCTCCGGTCCAAGACACAATGAAGAAGACCAACCGGGGCAGCATGCTCAACATTTTGTACTCCAACCTCTGCGCCGAGGATCATGCAGCGGCAGGCATGATTTAGGGCTAGAAGGACCCTGCCATGCATTAGACGGTTCTCAGCTTCCGGCCCAACGCGCTTCCGCAGCATTTCCCTGCATTAATGAGATGCAGTGGAGATGCATGGCAGCCACTTGAAACTTGCTGTCCATGCCTGTCGAGACCACTATCATCAGCGTGGAAGTAGTCGGAGTCTGATGCGAACACTTTGGCAACGCCTTAGCATCCAAAGCCATGCACGTGTTGCAAAGAATGGGGGAATGCATCCCGCAGGGAGTAGAGGGATCAGCCCCCTTAAGTTCTTGTTGCTGATGAACCGTATGTGCAGTCGTTCCGCTCCTAACGTTATACGACCAATTCGAAGCACGACAAACAACACAACTAAATCCTTCGAAGAAATTCCCCAAACCATCTCTGTATATTCGGTACCAAGGCTTCCGATCCCTATTGTCATCTCCGTGTCATCCCTTTGTATCCCAAGGTTGGTTCGAGGAGCCCCGCATTGCTATTTTGGGAAATGCTCTTCTGCATATGCGAGGCGTCACCGAGGTTTTCCCGAACCTTCTCTGCGGAGCACTGAATACTGTTGATACTGTAACAATAATAGTAAGAATCACAGAACTCGCGTCAGAACTCAAAAACTGTAGTACTGATGGTAGTTGCAGTAATCCTGCTGACCGCTATAAAGCCTTCATGACCTTGGGGTACTGTAATGATCCCCAAGTAGAGGATGCCCAGGGTCATGCGGGAATTCGAGTGTCAACCTTTTTTTTATGATCCAACGCTGGCGAAAACAGCAGTGCAACCCCTAGATCCTTTCTCTTGATATGTGCGGGCATACCAAATTTCCAAAATCATTTTGAGGTTTGTTTGGGGTACACCCTAGGACCACAATGCTGATTGTTTTCCGATAAACTTGTATACAAGCCGAGTTTCAATGCAACTTTCCATTTGCTTCTCCAGTGCTACCATGCAGGTTGTACTGAGTTAGGCCCCCAGCAAGCCCCAGATGACAGCCTCTATAGAACTCCCAAGGAAAACTAAACGAACACTTTTGGGACTATATGTCTTGGCTGTAGAGCTTATAGTAGGGATTATTATGCTTTGATTAATACCGAAAAAGTTGAAGGGAAGGTTTTATAGGGACTATAATACCAAAAAGGTTGTAGGTTATCTACTCTACTCAAAAATTGCCCTCGAGGCCCGGCACCGCCCTTCTGCGAGACCACGCTTGTTACCACCTGGCCACAAAAAATGCTTCATGCCCGCAGCTCGGGGGGATATGTGAGCAGTAAACTAAACTCCTGACGGAGGGCTATAGAAGGGATTATACAAGGATCCTATTCTAAGGAGGGTACTAGGATTTGAGACCAAAGCTCATAGAGGGCAACTTCTAACCATTCTCACACAGTGACATGATAGTTCTATGAGGGCGAAAAGGCAATAAAAAGGTGGGAAACCAATAATTCTAGGGACTTGCGTCCTCTACGCCTACAGCCTGACATCTACTTGGGCACAAATATGCAGTTTCCCAAACACGCGGTGATTCCAGTTATTGTGGTCTCCCACAGCCTCCGCGAACATGGAAGACCGCGGCGTATATTCTCCAGTCCTCGCACAGCGGCCGCATGTCAAAAGATAACCACCTCCCCCTCATGATGACACTCCACCACCTCACCCTTATAATACATACTTCCAACACTGTTCCGTAACAAATTCAGGGACCTTTTTCGGGGGGATGGGGCCGCTCATAATTCAGAGAATGCACCTGCCAGCTAATATAGGGGCCTTAACAAGTAGAATAAATAGGGTATTGGGGGCCCATTATACTAGATGTATAATAAGGAACACCGAAAAAAGTATTGGTAAATACTTTGGCCGCTATAGTAAGACCATCCAGCCTCGGGGAAGGCGCTGGGGCTCCGTCATCACCATCCATGCCTTGGCATGACGAGCGCTCTTGGCCTCAAAGGCAAACCTGCGAGTTCCTCGAAAAGGAGGGCGGGTCTAGAGACCTGAAGGGGTGTACGTATATGGGGACTGTCATAGGGATTTCAATAAGGGCAAAGGCGTCATTTTTTATTTGAGATTCTAGACGGATTGTTGAAAAAAAGGCGCCTTCTAAAATCGGCCTTGCACCTCAGAACGCCTGATATCCTTTACAGCTCAAACGTGCAAAAACGCAGTGCGTGCAACAGCTACAGAGATCATATGCAGATGAATCGAGCATTTCTCAGAAGACACCTTGACAGGAACCCTTGAGAGGACCTCCCTAGAACCTCCCCTACACACAAACAAGTGTATATATATATACACACATATACACAAGTGTATATACATAGACATGTATACATATTATATATATATATATATGCTAGCCCCCCCCCGAGGACCAACTTTGAATTGCCTAAATTCCTTAATTCCCGACACCATGTGTTGGATTTAGGGAATTGCCTGATTCCCTAAATTGCCCAAATTCCCTAAATCCCAGCCCCCATGTGTTGGATTTAAGGAATTCCCTAAATTCCCTAAATCCCAGCCCCATGTGTTGGATTTAAGGAATTCCCTAAATTCCTTAAATTCCCTAAATTCCCTAGATTCTCTAAATTTCCTAAATTCCCTAATTCTGGCCCCCATGGATAAGATTCAATGGTTTCCGTTCATGGGGAGGGAATTTAAGGAATTTAGGGAATTTAGGGAACCAGGGAATTCCCTAAATCCAACACATGAGGCTGGGATTTAGGGAATTTAGGGAATTTAGAGAATTTAGGGAATTCAGGGAATTCCCTAAATCCAACACATGGGGCTGGAATTTAGGGAATTTAGGGGATTTAGGGAATGTAGGGAATTCAGGCTTGAAAACCAACACATGGGTCTGGGAATTAGGGAATTTGAGCAAATTAGGGAATCTAGAAGAATTCACGCGTTCTGTAAACTCAATGCAAGGAGGCAGTGATTAAGAAATTTAAGGACCTCGACGGCGCGACATCGCCGTTTTGAGAAAACTGGGCAAGCTTCATTGCTTTCATATTAGGATGCTGGTTAAATGCTCCGGATATTGCTTGTGTTTAACATTGTTTGTTTCTAGTTCTGTTCATATACTATTTTGCTCAGAGGCATAACCCAAAGACGGGACCAATTCAGAAAGACGTGTGCATCCTACATCAGTTCGTAATAAGGTTGCATGTGTGCACATGTTCATTATTCATGAAGCTCTTAGGTCACTCATGCGCCAGTGAATACGCATGACTCATACTAGTGCCAAAACGAGGTAATACCAAGATGTCTATCCCTACGAATAAAGGCACATTCATAGTCAGTTTAGTCTTGTTCGTAATACTCGTATTTAAAATGATATTGATATTTATACGAATTTTGATACTATATATTAACATTAGTACTCTTATGAGTATGAAGACTCATCGTAATTCTAATGGTGAAACTGATAAAAATGATAGTATGAATATTAATGTTCGCAACAATACTGATAATCATGTTCATGTTAAGAACAGTATTAAAATGCATAGCTGGTATGACTGTTCATGCTAATATTGGAATAATTGTTAATACTCCTACGGATAATGATATGCATATCCGTATTGACGACTCTCAATGCTAACACTATTAATTCTCTAGTACTCAAATTCATCTTAATATTAGCACTAAGGCTAATTCGGATGTTATAATAAAAACACTAACATATTGATGTTCGTGGTCGTATTGATATGAGCATGAGTACGTAGATCAGTATTCGTTTTAGCTAGTACGAACAGCAACCTGAAGATGCATACTCCTGCGAGTACAAAAACAGTTTTATTCATAGTAATTTTATTTCTACTGTTAGTATCTGCTACTAGTATTTACAAATAATACCAATACTAATTTTTGCATTGATATGATCATGAATCCTAATATTCTTACGACTGCTAACTTGCATAGTAATATTAACACTAATATGAATACGAGTGATCCTACGAACACGAATAATCATATTCCTTTCTTCATATTCATTGGTACTAATACCATGATACATACTAATGCTAATATTCCTACGGATACTAATGCTCATGTTCTTAATAGCTATTCTCAGTGCGAGCTACGACATTACTATTATGTTTATATCAATATTATTACTAAGATGAACACTAATACTTCGGCTAATACGCACATGCGTAATACTAGTAAAAATACTAGTGTTAATATCAAGATAGAAATATTATTACATATTCATATCAATGCCAATATCACTATTGATATTAAAATCAACACGGTTCATACATCTACGATTACTACTCAACATACTGTTAGAATAAAACACAAGACAATGTACGCATCAATATAGTAAAGTATCAATATTCTTTCATATACCAATACATATATATATATATTGTTATACTAACATACTAATATATTGATGTACCAACAGATCAATACTGTATGCTAATCAGAGAGCGGTTCCACATGCCCACATGCAGATGATCGCTTTCGCAAGCACCCGCTCATCAGCAGAACAGTGACAGCACATCACAGTCAGCCATTCTCCATGTAGACGCTCGAACAGCCAGACAACCAGTGTTCCCAAGGCAAACCTGTTCCGCAACTAGACGCCTCGATTGTAACCAAGACGACAAGATCCGACACATATGAAGATATGAAGATACTATATTCCCCAAGGTGACGCGCCTGCGGCGTGCCTTTCGGCTACCTGGGACGACTTGGGGCCTGGACCCTGCAGCAAACAAACACTGCAGATCATCATCTTGGAAGCCTTTCCCCAGGTGCACACCGAAATGCAACGACCTCACAACAAAGCTTCCTTTCGAAGGTCTGGCGCTGCCACGAACCAAATGCAACGACTTTAGCAACTGGAATATGTGCAGGAAGAAACGCAGGCTGCTCACGGGCCAATCTGCTTTAATCTGCTGCTAAGCAACCCAGCTGCACACTATCACTACACACGCCCGAGCTACACAACCAAAAACCCGGGCCTACGCGACGCCCGCTAGACGAAGCCAGAAGCAAGAAAAAGCGGGACAAGACAACAGAGCCGTAAGCGAAACGCGAAGAGCAAGAAACACCAGCAGCAATTAATCAAGTGCGGACTCAAATCCAAGACCAAGCAAACACGCCAAGTTACCCACTGCTCGGCCAACAGTCGCTCCAGGAGCTCCGCAGGGTTGTCTTTGCAGTAGCGGGCAGATCTGCGCCCGGGAAGAGCACGAAGCTCTCTCCGGCAGCTTGGACAGCGGCTTTTGCCTCCTTCTGGCCGGATCCTCAGCACCTGTGAACACAACCAGACCACCTCGTATCAGACACACAGTTGTACGACAAGAGTGGATGCGAACGGTTTCAAAGCAGCCGCGGCAGATGTTGTAGTTGCATTCTTTGCAGCGTCCCAAATGCAAGGAAGAGAAGCAAACTCCACAGGCCATTTCGAGATGGCTCGTACCGCAAGACAGCAGCAAGCTGCGACAAGAGTCACTTCAGTGAGGTGCATCACTTTGGAAAGTGCAAGCGGGCAGCTGTCAGACAGCTTGTAGCCCTATGTACTTCAAGCGCAAGCCAAACCGCTTTTGTCTGCGTGCGGTCCATTTCAGTTACAGTTTTGTCGAGACATTGAAACATGGGTCCAGAAGCACAGAAGCATGTGGTCCAGACTTACAGCCATGTGCAAGAACATCGTGCTCATTGACACTGACACCAGCATTAACACTGACAGTAACATTAATCAAACGAACAGTAATATTGAACAGATACCAGCAGTATTACTATTATTACTACTACTATTACTACTACTACTACTACTACTACTACTACTACTACTACTACTACTACTACTACTACTACTAAAATTCATACTGACACAAAACATATACTAATACTAACACTAACAAAGATTTCGACAGATTACTATTCATCAGAATAGCAGTATTAAGATTCAAACTAAGATCAAGAATAAGTCAAGACCAATATTGATATTATTATTAAGATTGAAACTAAGAATGAGACTACGGCAATATGAACACCGCTAATGAGGTAGTTTCTGTGTGCGCCTACCCGAGCACATGTTTATATGCAGCAGCGTGAGCTCTGAGGTTAACATACAAGAAGAGAGAAGGGATTTATCATAAAATATGACATAATAGCACAATAAATAGAGACTGAACAACTGAACCCTGTTTTTTTCCACTTCGACAAGACGCGCCGAGACGGTAAATAATGTCCATGAACACCAAATCTATCGATATTTGCAGGGGTTTCGGCTCGAATCCGGAACGGCGCCAATACAGACACGAGCAATCACATGGCCGAGGTTGGTCCTGGGGGGGGTTACAATATATATATATATATCTATCTATATATCTATATATCTATATATCTATATATCTATATATCTATATATCTATATATCTATATATCTATATATCATCCCTTATGGGTACCAACCACCCCCCATGTCGGAAAGACACGCCTAAAATCCAATTATAAGCATCCGAGTGGCAGCTGGCTCTTGCTGTGTGCTGGCTGCACACTTTGGGCGGGCTCAGGGCCACTCTGTTTTTTTGAGCAAATAAGGCGAGGCGCAACGGAGGAAGCAACGCGTGCTAAAGGGCAGCTCACATGTTGTAAGGCATTGAAGCAGCTCCGCATGACTGTTTTCAGGAGCTTGGGAGTGATGGGAGCATGTCTTTTATGTCCTGAGACAGGTGAAGCCCACTGAGATGAGGACAAGCGCGGCACCCCTGCAGCGCGGGGGCACTCATCAGTCACAAGCGAACACCTTGCAACCGTTTGGGACATGCCTTAAGTTGTTCCCCAATGGAAAATGTGACATAGGGATCCGGATCCGCATTATGCTAGGAACCTTATAGTAAAGGGACCCGTGTTCACGTTAGTTTAGACAAAGAGCCATGTAATGGTCAACTTCAGACATGGCATGTGTATATAGCCTTGTCAAATAAATTTCGTCTTGAAAGGGATTGAGCCACGACCGCAGCAAAAGGCAAGGAAGGAACGCTTGCGAGCCATGGGCAAACATTTCCGCATTCTAGCAGGTGAACATCGAAACGTTTTGCTAGCTTCAGGACATGAGTTCGGTTCCCCAAATGAGCTTGAGCTCCAGATCTCTTCACCTTGTAGGGGGAAAGTTCCCTCGTTCTTGAGAGCGATTGAAGATCCGTCTAGTCACCAGGCTGCCTAGTGCCGGCTCGCAAACAATCGAAAACGAAAGCTTCCTGGAACCGGGGCTCTTCAGCACAGGATTGCCTCGCCTTATGCTTTTTGACCCCGACAGACTGAGTCCCTGCCTGGACAACGGCATGAAACATGTAGGTAGCTTTGTCAAAAAAGACTTTCGAACTTAAACGACCGAGCCATGACTGCAGCAACATGCAAGGACGCAACGCCTGCAAGCCATGGACAGCATTTCTGCATGCTGGCATGTGAACGAAAGCTTTCACCCATGGGCTCCCCATTCCACCATTCTCCGAGTTTGCGTTAACACAGCAGGAGGCTTGGTTGCTGTCCGATACCCCTGAATTGACACCCTCCGGTGTGTACCAAGAACAACCTCCCGATTTGTCACAACAAGAGCAAGAGGTGGGGGGGGGGGGGGGGGGGGAGAACACCATGAACCTGTCCGTGCATCCGTGCAGGCTTGCCAGCATGAGCCGCATTTTCGGCAGGCAGAAGACATGGAAACCACATCCTGTGCTCACTTCGATTTGGGCTCATCAACTTCCGCCCTTCTCCCTGTTCATGGCAGCAACAGCACGGAAGGTCTAAATCTCAGCCCTAAACACTAGATCCCAGCCCTCACTCCTGTGTGTTTAGGTTTTTCGACTTGTGCGCATTTCGGCCAAGCCCCCGGATTCGAAGATAACGCAGGAAACTGCACAATGAGCTTTAGACGATATCCTCTTAAAGTTCCCATGTTGTGATAATTTGTGATAATGATTGGAGTGTGGCTATAACCACCGAACACGTTTCAGCAGATTTTAGTCCCCACATGACATCATAGATGTGCTACTGTTGTTGTCCACTTTGTTTCTCCGTAGGCATATTGCAAAGTCGGTCTCCCTCAATCTGAGGTTCGTCTTTCGAAATTAGAAGGCGGTGGCGCGCAGGGGAATCTTGCTGAGCAGCTCCTGTGCGAGACTTCTAAGGATGATGGGTCTGCCGGGCCCGGAGAGCTACTTTACCAAATCCAATCTTGGTTCAGGATCTAAGTCTCTCCCTAAGCCGTAAACCGCTGAGATTCCCCTACACCCTAAATCCTAAACCCTAAAAGGGATGGTACAACGAATTGGCTCCAGCGTGTCGGAAGGCTTGCGGAGCTTCACGGCATCCGCGACCTCCCAGACTCCTGGCTCTGCTGAAGCTCTCAAGAAAGACTCTGCAAGGAGCACAGAGACATGAGGGGATAACCCAAACCACAAAGGAACCCCTAAACCCTAAACCCTAAACCCCAATGAAGAGCGGCTACTCCAAGAAAACTTGTTTCTTTAAATTATGGCAGCTCCTGAGAAGAGCTGTCCATTGCAGAGGTCAAGCGCCTCGTAGGCCATCTTGCCGCCGAAGCCGGAGCAGGACTTGCATCGCAGGCAAATACCTTTCTTCTAAAGGGAACTCCGGAAAGTTGGAATATCATTATCGTAACCCCTTGAAGGTAAATTATAGGGGATCCCACCATTAATCCATGTTCCAACTTTCTGGAGTTCCCTGTAGGTCTTCGAAGCTCCGAAAACATGTCTATCCAAAGAAAATCTGAGCCCGTCAGAGCCACCCAAAAGGCGACCAACGCTCACGAACTCGAGCAGCAGGCCGTGTGCAAGAAGCTTTGTCTAGTATCAGCTACCGCCACGGACCAGCCGTGTCAAGACTCAAGTGATGCGTTCTTTTTTCAATGGTGCCGCGCGATGCACCGCGAACCCGTGTGACTTCGCGTATCTGCAATGGCTATTCTTGAAACCTTGCCTACCCCGAACCCAAGACTTCTCAAAGAATAGCCCTTTGCTATGCAGCAGGGTACTGGGCATCCTAAACCCACAACAAGAACAAATCCCGACACATCCGGAATCATGAGCCCAGACGCACTCTCCACTTTCAAAGTTAACGACCTCTTGGAGTCGCGGAAGGAGCTGGGTCACGCGGCCGTCGTCGTTGCTGGCGCTGCCCATGCAATGGTTCACGACCGCCCAGGCAGGCATCACATTCAGCTCGTGGAGGGGCTTGCCCTTGGTGACCTGAGAAGGGTTTTGAGTACCTATAGACCTGTAGAAACTCTATAGACGTGTAGCTAGAAGTCTATAACCATATAGTAGAATCATATAGAAGCATCTATTGTGAGGCTCTAAACCCTGAACCCTCTCGTGTGCATTTCCTTTGTTGCGCACGCGACCTCGTGTACCATGAGCGGTAAGAGCCGCTGGGAGGGCATGATGGACCAAAGCATTCCCACAGCAAAGTAAGCCTTAGTTGCTGAGTTCTACAGCTTTGGGGTTTAGTGGCTGAGAGTTCCCCGGCTCATTAGCCCCTTCTAATTATGCCCAGGTATCTGAACCCCCAGAACAATAACAGCTTCCCTAAGCAAGGACAAGAAGCAAAAAAGTCGCACTCCCACTCGGCCATCAAGCCAGAGGCTTTCAAATCTTCCGAAGGCGGGAAGACTGCGGTGGAGATCACGCGGCTCCTTTGCTGGGATCTTGTTAAAGGACTTAGTTTAAGTTGCCATAATAAGGAAACCGTATTATTTACTCTAGATCCCTAATATGGTAACTTAAGTTAAATGCGCGGGACTTGCACGGTGGATTGTCTTGTCTCAGTTAAACTGCATGTGGGAGTTTCCAAAAGTTCGGGGAACCCTATTTTGGGTCCTTGTAATAAGGACCCTACAGCGTTTAGGGTAACTACGTACTGTATTACGGTCCCCGATTGTCGGAAACTCCCATATACTACACAGATTACACACGCATGCGGGAACACTTACGCGTTGCTTCTCCACAAGTGCAGCAGCCAAGCATCTTCATCTTTTCAATGGCGGAGTCTGTCATCAGGAACCAGGAGAAGGAGAAGTTACCGGACCAGAAGCGGTAGCAGTTCTGGTAGCACACCTGGCGATCTGCGCCAAATCCAAAGGAAACCCGCAAGGGAGCCCGATAGGAATCACGACAGAAATAATATAGGGGCCTTAGTAATTAGAATAGGTGTTGGGCCCACCATACTATACTTATAGTAAGGAACCCCCCAAGAAGTATAGGCAATTATTTAGGCCCCTATTAGTTTGTTCAAAGCCACCTGGTCCGTGTAGATCTGCCCATAGACGGTCTGGAGAGCAAAGCCCAGGAAGCAGAGTTTCAAAGGCAAGGGCATTTGCCACAAGTCCGCATAATCGAAACCCACGCTGGTCATCCAGAAGCAATAGATGGTCCAAAGGATGGGGATCAAGTTGATGGCAAAAACGTCGATGAAGGGCAGGTGCACGATGATGTAGATGTGCATCAGAACCATCAGTCCCAGCCCTATCAAAGCTGAGGAGGCCTGATATGATCCACAGAAAGGTGCGAAGAGCAGGAACAGGGGACCTGCCCACTCCAGTATCGCAGCCGCGTAGCCCAAGACGGCTGCCAGTCGCGTCGGGGTGCAGTCCCCTCCCGGGATATCCTTGTAGATGAGGTTCTGCCAGAAGCGGCTTCCTGGCCAAGGAACAAGTACCCTAAGCTTGTTGCGAGAGAAAGGTCGCGGTCTGGGATCGTGTAGGGGTTTTAGGGGCCGTTACGGGTGTGCAATCTCAGAATGTTCGGGGTCCTGCAAAGATGTAGGGCAGCACCCACTCTGCCGCAAAGTTGACCACGAACCAGTCCCCATGCTTGGCGACACCACTGCCGATCCAGGTCATCACCTGCCGGGATGGCCAAAAAGAGCGGCGGGGTGGTTTGGGTCTTAGGGTTTAGGGTTTTGGGTTCAGGGTTCAAAAAGGCAGAGGCTGCTGTTTGAGGCCCTTGATGGCTGAGTTTTCACGGTTGGGGATGTGCCATCACTAAAAGCCCTAAACCCTAAACCCCTAAACTTTCCCTAAACCCTATACCCAGTAGAACTTTTTGGGCTGCCCTCGCCAGCACCAGCTGGAGCCCAGCGTTCGTGCCCTGAGGGCCGAAGAGGGCCCTTGATCCAAAGATCAAGGAGACAGGCCCATGCCAGGCACCGAAAAAGCCTGTGTAGCAGGAGTAGTCCAGGATGAAGAGGGTCCAAACCTGGTTTCTAGGGTCTGCGCTTCCTTCTGTCTGAGGCTTGAAATTTTGGAACTTAGAGTTTTAAGCTTCTGGCTTCAGGTAGGCGTTCTGAAAGCAGGTGCTGTCTAGTTTGTCCCTCGGGTATCCCAAGCCTCAAAAAAACAAAAAGCGAGGTTTAGAGTTTAGGGTTTAGGGCTACCACTGCTCCGCCAAGAAACGCAGGCGGGCCAGAGAGCCTCCCACACTCCGGCGTCCGGGGTGACCAGGAGAAAGATCCTCAGAGGCCAGGTACCCGAGCCCACAAAAGGAAAGGGTTAACCTTTTAAAGTATGGTAGGTTTATATAGACCCCAAAAGGTTAAAGGTTACCTACAAGTATGGTAGGTCTATGTATAAATCCCTAAAGGTCAAAAGGTTACCTAAAAGTATGGTATGTTTATATAAACCCCAAAAGGTTAAAGGTTACCTACTCAGCTACTAAGGATCATGATGGGTACCACCGCGGAGCACACTAAGACGTCCAGCCAGGTTCGCTTATAGCCCAAGCACTGGAAGAAGGGCTCCTTGATGGTTCCACGGATGAAGCGCATCCGGGTCCAGGGAAAGGGTGGGTTGATGTTTCCCATCAGCGGCCCTGAGTAGGTACCTCGCAACAGGAGGGTTTGGGAGTTTAGGCTCTAGGCTTTGCCATGAGGCATGTTCATCAGCATGTGTTTGCAGAGGCGTCAGCCGCGAATTGCCCGTAGACCACATACAAGCCTTAGCTCCTAAAGCACCTTGCTATAAGCCATGTGAAACCCGGAAAGCAATGCAAGATCCTGCCTGTCCAAGATAGGAACTCGAACAAGAAGTGTCCCATCAGCGCATTCCGGAGGAAGCCGAAGTAGAATCCGTCGGCCGACGGGAATGCACGAGCGGTGGCATACCACAAACCCATTTGGAGCAAGTTCCAAACCTGGTTTTGCATCGCTTAAATATCCGGCTCTTATTCCAAAAACCCGCAAACGAGCTTAAACCCTGTACAAACCCGAACAAAAAGCCTGGACCAGTTGGCAAAACACGCCGCCAAGACGTGTAATTAGGCAGGAATCTCACCGACGATTTGTTTCGGGATCTATAATTGACAGGGATCAACTGTAACGAGACTTGAAGGATGTAGATTTCGGGCAGCTTGGAGCCTGACACCGATCTCCTACCTCCACCACCCCAGAAGCTGCTACAGGGTCTTATTCAGTGGAGTAGGGTGTAGGGGTTTGAGGGTGTAAGGTTCAAGGTAATACTGGGTTTTCCCAGTTAAAGCTGGGCTTTGAGGGTGTTTAATGCGTATAGTTGTATAGGGTTTACAAGCTAGTATTACTGCTGAATATTCAGACCTCGATATTACGAGAAAAGCCACGTGGAACGCTTCTTGAAAAAGCCAAACCTCCAAAACCCACGCTCATCCCTGTCTTAGTCCACCTGTGCAAGCGGCGGTGACCCGCAGGTCAAGCTGAACCTCAACCCTCACCTCTGTAAGCCCTAAACCTGAAGACGATCTGAACCCTCAAAGCTAAGCTCTGAAGTAGCCTTAGGCCAGTCATTCTCCGAGGGGCGAGGTGCATCATGGTGGCCGGTAAAGCCGGCAAGCCCCCGACCTCGAAGATCATCTTCACTACCTGGTAGGGGGCAGCGGACAAGAACCGCCTGGCTTTAGGGCGTAGGGGGGGTGTGAGAATGGAAGAGTTTTGGGCGATGTTGAGCACTTGAAGAAATCCAAAGTCTGGCTGCGTCGCCATTATTCAAAAGCAAGGAGGATAAAGACGTGGAGGTTACTCTTGCTTCAATATGAGGAGGGCCTCAGTGACGCCCTCTATGTCCAAGGCTGCAGGGGGCTTAGCTTCACGGCTTATTTGCCATGTCAGGTTGGGGGTGTTCAGTAAGCAAAACCCTCCGAAGAACGTAAGCTCAACACTGGGCTGCCGACGTACACTTGAGACCGAGATGCCCTCACTTGCTTTGCCCTTCGCTGCCCTTGCAAGATCCCTATTCAACACATCGGGAGAAGCCAACTATCCCAAGTTCTTCAAACCCCGAAGCTGATCCTTGGGTTCCGACAGGCTAAAAAGGCAGGAAAGGGGAGCGCAAAATCATCCCCTGACTAATTTCTCAACGGCTAAGGCGACATTCCAAAAAACCCTCGAAGTTAGCCCAAGTCATTCCCAAAGACATCCATGAGACACCTCGTCCCATTGCTGCCAGTAGGACATAGCTTTGAAGTCCTCTTCCGGCAGGTAGGCCCGCACCATCGCTTCCCGCAAAATCTAGGAGAAACAGCACTCGGAGACCCTACCTGGGCCTGGCTGTTAAAACAAACTCCCCAGGACGGAGCCCGAAACATGGCAACGCGACCATGCCTTGCGTGTCGCTTCCAAATATCTGTAGCGACAGATCCCAACCTGCATGGAAGCTGACATCCCTAACATCTCGCTTTTGTGGGAATTTCACCTTGCTCTAAAGTGGGACACGCCATATGCGACATTCTGAATACTTGTACAAACACTCGTGATCCTACTATCCATACTGCAAGTAGTGACAATTAACATTCCCAACATGGTAGATACTCTAACAGGAGCAAAAGTCGTTAAGATCAACGGGTTTGGGATTCCAGGCTGCAGTATGCTCCCTGTTACCGGCCTCATTATAGTAACCTTGTTATGGTACCATCCTCTTGATACTTTTGTAATCTTTTTAAGGGCTTTAAGGAAATGAAGTACTTAGGCAAATACGGTATGCAGGAATGTCACGGCTCCGTTAGGGCTAGGGTGTAGGGGTTTAGGGTTTAGGATTCAAAGCTTCGAGTCTAGGGTTTTGGGGGGTTTGGATCTCGGGGCTTCTGGGGTTTGCTTAATCGGACTGGCACCCCAGGGTCCAGGGACTGCACGGAGCTTTTTCTTGCACATCGCTGCCACGTGCGAAAACGATGTGAAGGTGCCCAGCACCATCAATGTCCTCAGCTTTATTGTCTGCACCCGGAGCATCGTGAAACGCAGGTTGGTGTTTTCGGTTTAAGGGTTGTTTTGGGGACGGTGGACACCACGAGCTCAACCAGCGAGAGCAGCAAAACCCTGGACCTCAAACCTTAGAACCTCTAGGACTCTCTTATTTCCTCTCCAGCATCTACTGTCATCCTTAATTTTTATAGAGCCTAGGAATCAGGGGGTTCAGGGTTCAAAGAGTATGTCTCTTGTAGGCTCACCGTCATCATCATGTGCTGATTCTCGCGATATGGATAACCACAACCAATCCATCACCAATACGGTCACAGCAGGCGATACCCCCGCCCCGGCATCACGGCTGCCGGCACCACACCCACCATCATCATCGAACCTACGCCATGAGCATAATCATCACTTTCGTCTTGCTCAGCCGCATCATTATGACCATGCTTCGCATCTTTCTGTTGGCATGATAAGAACCACCACGATTCTGCGATCTTGACGGCATAAACACTTGCATAACCAAGCTCAGCGACCAAGCAACATGATTTTAGTAAAACACAACAGGATTATGAGCCATAGTCCTTTGGGGACTCGCGGTTTCTTTTCATAGCATGCTACAATATATCCAAAATCCTATTCACCTATTCCACCCCATCACTGCCCAGCACCATGACCATCTCTTGAGGATCCCAATCAGTATCATGGCCACTGTGGTCCCCGTGGCTGACCCCTCCGCATGCTCACATGATCGACCCACCGACTGCCGCCATCAGCACCATGAGCGTCATCATCAACATCATCATCATCATCATGGTGGCCATCATGATGGTCGGGATTGCACCTGAAACAACAGAAGTCATTCGCATTGCCATCACCACTCAGATAACCAACATCAGTGACAGGAGGAAAGAGGACGACACTCGACCCGTCTTGTCGGCTTGTAATTGCAATTCGAAGAGAATGTCACGACAAATATCTAGTTTCAGAAGGTCTGGAACCCCAATATAAACCTAAATCGTAGGACGCTGATTACAAGGAGGGCACAAAGGGGAACCCCAAGTTTCAGAGACATCCAAATCGAGGTCACACAGGTAGCAAAATGGCACAACACTCATGTCTTCTCAACTCTTTACAGGATTCCGGACTCTAAACCCTCAAACCCTAAACCCCAAACCCCTACACCCTAAACCCCTGAACCGTAAACCCCTACAAGACTCCCTTGTAGTAGCCCCAACACAAGGGGGTGTCCGAACATAGGGGACCCCCAATATAGTACCCTAAATAGTAGGAACCTTATTTTAAGGACCCCAAAATAAGGTACCCCCAATTTTCGGAAACTAACACATGAATTGCATCATCATCGGCTTGTGGCTCGGAGGTGGCCAGAAGTTCCGAAACGTACCACCTGAGCGCTTTTTAAGCTTTGGGGCTGGGTGCCCTGGCCTCTCTTTGGGTTTAGGGCTTAGGGCCTACACCGCGAACAATTGCCAAACGTCACTTGCCCAGCCCCTCAATTCAGGCTCTGGTTTGAGGGTTTAGGGTTCGGGGTTGAAGGGTTTGTAGGCTTAAGCTTTAGATGGGCTACGTCAACATATCCGAAACTTCTATCCTTGAATGCTCAAGCTCAAAACTGATGTCATGCCGCCAAGTCACCCGTGCTCTCAAGGTTGCGAAAATCGATGTGTGGACTTGGATTGCTCATGCCACGATCGCATGAACAGCAGCTAGCTGTGAAAAGCAGTCAGACTCTGCAAGGCTTGGGGAGGTGATTGAAAGAGTCCGGTGCTGTCTCGATGGAATGTTTGCTGCAGCAGCGGCGGCTTTGGATCAACAAGGCTGAGTCATCGTGAGGCACCGGGACCGCTGGGATGGTGCCGCTTAAGTCATTTTAAAGCTCGCTGAATCGGCACTGCACCGCGTGGCTGCCGCCGGGAATTTCTCTTTGGTCAACTTAGGAGCCGGCTTCGATTTTTTGAGCCAGTCAAAGTCGGACCCCCAGGACGACAAATGCAGTGCAGGGCCCGGCCAAAGCGCAAAAGATATGTGAGGGGTAAAGATAGAAGCTCTGGCAAGGACGGCTACGATCTGCTTGCAGTAGGACAGGAAGCAGTGCTCTGATAGAGACCTTCACGGATAAGTGGAGGTTTCTCTCAGCAAGTTGGCATCCTCACGGCTACTGTTGCGAAAGGTTGGCTGCGGCACTCGAATCTCTTCCCGTCATTTGAAAGATCCCTGCAAGAACCCTCCATCGGACCCCGAAGCCAGTGCTCCTAACACAGCTTGCAGCCACGCCTTGGAGTTGAAGGCAGGCTCTCTTTGCCCGAGGTCAGAATGAAGATCCTACTGGGAATCCTGCTGGTAGTGCTGCAGGGCCGTAGTTCCTGCAGGATTCCAGCTCTCACGGGCAGCCTGAGGGCCGAAACTCGGCCTCCAAAATGCCAAAAGCCACGTGAACTCCTGGAGGAGGGCCCTCCGTCGATGCTTCCACTTTTCAAGATTTAAACTTTGTGGGGGCGAACTGACGGGGCATGTGCACCCCTAGACAAGTTGTGTCGCCTTCGCGAACTGTGAGCAGACTTATCGGCCGTCCGTTTTCTTCAGACTTGGGGACTCGGAAACCGAAGCAATGTGAATCTTATGACCGACAAGATCGACACTAAGTATTCTCCTGTGGCTGCATGCTGCTGACAACCTCACTGGTGCAGTTCTCAGGCACTTGTACGTCCTCGGCAACACTCTTGGGCGAATTTCACCCACTCTCTTCAAGACAAACGTTGCACACGTCGAAATCCGCAGACTTGATCTCTAGGCTTGGCTTGTGTAGGCGGATCAGCGGGTATCTTTGAAAGGTGTGCTGAAGCCACAGGTCGCTCAGCCACTGAAGCTTCAGATCGCTCGCCCAGCTGCCTCAGGTCTAAGGTTGCCAGCCGGCGAAGTTGCAGAGCCGAGCCCTTCCAAGCCTGATCCAAACGCACGAAACGAGCCGGAGCAGTGGGAGGCTCCGCTGCGACTGCGGCTTTAACTCTGGGCCTGCAGGTTTACCGCGAGGGTGAGGCTTTGGAAGTCAGCAAGGCCACGTCAAGAAGCGCAAATCTCTCGACTGCATACCTGCAGTGGCTCTGCGCAGAACTTACACGAGAAGTTGACGTTTTCATAGGCTTGCAAGTCTTTTGGGGATGAGCTGCTTCCGGATCTGTGGTCTGGAGCCTATGGCATGCAATACTATGGGAGCACATCAGCTGCCGCCTGCATTGGACTGGTGCTGCATGAAACATCAAATGCCGCGGCACTGTTCTCAAAGTCTACGCTGTGGCTGCAAGCATCCTTGCTCCGGATGCAGGCTTTGAGAGGTCTGGCTCAGGATAGGACGATCCAAATTGGTTTGACAAACCCGTGCAATGCGAAATCTTCACTTGCATTGTGTCGCAGCGGCAACAACACGATGGTAGACAGGCCACATGCATGGACAGCCGAACGCGACACCGAGAGAGCAGCAGGGAATGTGCTAGCTTTGCAGATCGATCTGCAGATATGTGGCAGGCAGACGACATGTAACCCCACGGTACCTGCAACCGCAGGCCCTCCACCCGAAGGCAATCTGCAGTTCAGACAGTTCCACACTGTTTGTTCGGAACTGCAGCGCTTGATGGCCCTTACTGACAACCTTCTCTGCATGGCAACCTGACTCGCTGTGCAGAAGATAACGGAGCTCGGGACAACGATCGAAAGTTCTGTGCTCTGCAAGCTAAGCCATCCGTGCATAGCGAGCTCTGCAGCTTTTCCTGGCTCCTTCTGCTACCCTCTCTTTCCTAACCTGAGCGCCGAAAACGGAACAGAAGCGAAATCCATTCACTCTTCACACACCCGTAGTCACAGATTCAACTTAGGTCTGTAGGGGGCTTGGGGCCAAGGAGTTGCACTTTGTTGGCTCTAGTTAGAGTGCTAGTCAGGAGTTGCAATGTCTCTTCCATCTCGGCACCAGGGGTGCCTTGCAACAGAAGTCTATACACGCTTGTGCGTTCTTGGGGCAGCTTGGAGACTCAGGCCCTAAGCCCTAATTACTTTCATTCCTATTGATCTGCTCTGCTGTTCGCGTCGGCACGGCCGGTCTCTGCATCAGCGCCAGGTCTGAAGCGTCACACGCGTTTTCGGCGTCGCGTACCTTAGGCCTCCAAGGACCTACTGCTTGGGCAACTCGGCAACATGGAAGCACGAGAGCAGTTTCAGGGGGTCTGCGACCAAACCTCGCAAACTTTGGATCCTCGGCGCCTTAGGTTTGAAGGAGTTGCACGCGCACACACGGGCATTGCCGTTGCGAATTCCTTTCACGGCTGCAATGCATGACTCTTGGCACGGGGAGACGTCACACACAAGTGCGGATTCACATCTGAAGGTAAGCCACGCTATCCGAAAGCTGAGAACTCACTTCTGCATCTTGCAAGCTTGAGGAGCTGCTGTTTTGCAGTGACGTCTCTGTCGGGCAGCAGCCGAAACCCCTCAAGGTCCTCTTATAGCAGACTGCTTGCTGCGGGAGGACATATGCGACCTGTGGAAACGCATTGAGCACTGCAGCTTTATGGAGTCAAAGCTCATGGGCGACACTCTGCATGGCTTCTTTGGGGATGGGACGCCTGGAGCACCCACCTGTCGTGGCTTGGAAGAGCAGGAGCAGGGCGCCCACGAACCATGGGATGCGGCTTCGAATCATGTCTTCTGATATGATGCCAGAGCCAGAAAGCTGCTTGCATTCTTTGCAGGAGCTGGCCTGTCCCTTTCGGCAGAAGCCGAAGCCGCTCCGAGCAGCCTTTTGGTGGCGGCAGATTTGCTGCAAGAGGACGGGCGAGGACTGCGGAAGCGTAACCTTGCAGAGGCTCAGCTGCTCCGAGGCTTGCAGGGCAAAGGCATGTACTGCGCAGCGACCCGTCGTGGCTTGGAAGAAGAGGATCAGGGCACCAAAGAAAGACGAGAAAGGGATGCCCGTCTGCATCATGTTACTAGACGTGATGTGAGTAGCAGCACAAGGGCGCTGGGACGGGAACGCCAGGCAGCGCCTTTGCAAAGTGCGGATGACGGACGCTTGCCGCCCCCAGCATTGGACCAAGCATGGCGGAACGTGCGACACAGACTCTTTTACGGGATCAAAAGATAGGCATCGAAGCGGCGGAGCCCGAGGCTGAGAGGATCCAGGTATCCACACTGGTACGGGTACCAGCAGTTCTCCACGACAGGTGGTGAAGTCTCCGGCCATGGACTCCTGTGCCACTCCGCAGGGAGGCAGCCGGAGTCAAGAGCCTCCAAGGACTCTCAACTACGAAGCTCCTCGGGCTGTGCACCAGGGCCTCTATAATTGCTTTCTGTTAGATTGGACAGCATCTCATCTGAAAGCCTTCTTGGATGCAGTGCAGTGAGGCCGCCGGACAGTGACGCGTCAGCACAGGGGTGTCTGGGTCGAAGTCAGACCGGAAGAAGCAAACGAAAGCCGAGAGCTCTGGCTTTGAGTGCGACTGCAAGCAGGGACTTTGTTGAAATGCCAGGACTAACTTTTGCACGACAGCTCGACTGCTCTGGCTTTCATAACACCAGAGCGGCAGAAAACTCTCGCATCGCATCCGGCTGCACTGTCACTAGCCGACAGAATAGGTCGGCAACACGGTGCACTTCTCAGACCAATCGCCGCGTTCCGTTGGCCCCACACGAGTTGCACTTAGCCACCAGCCAAGAGTTCGTAGACGGTAGATCTGTCAAAGGGTGGGCGCTTGGACTCAGACCACAGCATCAACTTGATGTAGTTCATCAGACCTCCAATGTCGCGCCCTAAGTAACTCCTGCACTTGGACCCAAGAGATGTAAGCTCCAGACCCTGTAGGGCTTGAGGGTCTTAGGGTCCACCGGCCTGACATCAGCCTCTGTGCACCGTCGTGGCTTTGGAGTTCACGACCTTGACGAACAGCTTTCGCGCTGGAAGCTCTGCGATGATGGCATCCAATGCGACGTAAGCTGTCACATATGACTTCCTTTATGCTGACAGACGCGAAACCGAAAGCTCAGTGCAGCCCAATCTAATTTGCAGTCTCTGGTTGGTGGAGCTACCGCAGAAACATACAGCCACAACCAGGAATGTGTCTATGATGCACGTACACGTGCACTGTGTGTTACAGTCTCTCCAGCGCTGCAGGCGTCTGCACTGGCACGAGTTGAGAGCTTAGATGATCTCGGGGGTCGTCTTTCTGTGACTCCGGGCTGATACGCGTGACTGTCACGCAGCTTTGCAAAAGCAAAAGCTGCAGCCACATGCATAGCCGGGACAAGTAACACGGATCGCGCGACTACGGCCAAGCAGTGGAGTAGGCACGGCTGCTGAAGGCATATGTCCGTGCACTTGGCTCAACATGCAGAAGCTCTGTGTCACATAAAGCCCGGTGGACCCCGGCCGGCCGTTTGCCTCTGGCACTGCCACGCTGACAGCTCATGGCTCCTGGCTTGTGAGATCTGCTTTGAACACGGTGTGACATGTTGCGAAGCACCATCAGCAGATTGTTGGCGGAATTCCACATTGGTAAACTGCTCACAGTAACGGTGCGGCGCGATGGACAGGCACTGACTCTAGCTAAGCTCCGGACCGTGCGACAATCACGAAGGAAAGGCAAAATAGAGCAAGCAGGCAGGTGCTTTGCTCCCCAAGCGCTTCGTTTCCCTCAGCCAGATGCCTCAACCCCCCAGCACCTACCCCCAGCTCTTTTTGAGCATTGTGGCTCCGAGAACATCGGACAAGGCGCAGCTTTGCGCTTGCTCTGCTTGCTTTAATTTGAAGGTATAGGGCTTAGGGAGTGCAGTGCAAAGACCACCTTCTAGCTTTAGCTGCGGGCATCTTAAGCGACGGGACACATCTTGAAGGTCCTGATACTCCACGGTAGCAGACGGAAGCCAGCAAAGCTATGATTCGCAACCACCATAGCGGTGAAAGCTGCGTAGATTCCAAGACGCAGGAGGATCCTGTCTTCCTTTTTCCGCTCCGGGACTCAGCGCACACAAACACTGCTGACTGCTTCACTTCATGGTGCCACGAGGTGCGTGCCCACTGTTTTCAATGCGGCTGTGGCTGTGGAACAAAAACCAAGCGAGGGAAGTCCAAAAGCATTTGCCAAGCTCCCCAGCCTTAAAACTCAGAGCCTCTAAGCTCCCACAGCGGAGCGCTCTCATCCCAAGGGAAAGCTTCTCACTTCGATGACCTCAGCTTTTGCAAGGCTTGTGGTGTTCCGTTTCACTTCGACTTCACCGGCTCTGAAGGGCTTTCGATGTGCCTTCAGTGACCAGGATGAGCCTGATTCAAGCACACCGCTGTGGAGGGCTGCTTGCTGATTTCTTGGACATGGCAGTCAGGCTTCCACAACCGTTTTCTTGTTTAGGACCTCAAGTGAGGGGTTCACAGGAGGGACCCTAATGACAAACACCACCTTGAAGCAGCTTCAGCACGCTGAAGACCCAAACGCTGCACGGCATTGTTGAGCTCAAGGGTGCATGGAAGTGGCGCAGTTGAGGGTGACCCCGCGAACTTCGGGCTTCATTGCAACCTCAAGGCTCCATGCCAAAGCATGTGCCAAACTTAGACGCTTCGTACCTACACGCTTCGTATCCACTGCTTAGGGTTTATAGGGCTTATAGGATAAGGGCCCTATTTAAAGGTTCCGGCGCTTGCCGGGCGGTTTCGCAAGGACTCAGCAGCTCGTGGTAGGCAGGGCGCGCATCGCAGCTGGTCCTCGCAGTCCGTGCTCGTGAAGGCTCAGGCCAAATCCTCCACACTCGCAACTGCTGTTGTCACCTTCAAGCCTTCAATGGCCTTACGCCTCAGCGTGCATCTCTCTAGCCTGCAGCCAGCATCGCGATGCCTGACAGTGTGCCTCTAATTTCATCCCTGCAACAAGCCAACATGAGCGCCTGCCGAAGGCAGGTGAGCGGAGGCTCAACCGGCGACTTCCACTGGCATGGCATGGGCGACCGTCCGTCGCTTTCACCGAGCTGCCATGGTCACGGCCGACACTTGCAGTAGCCCAGAATTTCTGGCTTGGCACAGGTGCGACCAACATGTGCATCTGGCAGTCTTCGGTGATGAAATGCTCGGCAGCCAAGTAGGCATCGTTTCGAGCCGATGCTCGAGGATTTTGGACTCGGGAATCCCGGCAGTGGCACCTCCTCATGTCATCCTCCGTACGAGTCCAACAAGACACACGCCTCAAGGCTCTTTAGCCTACGCTGTGCCCGCTTTCCGACCTTGGGCCGAAGGCTGCAAAGCACCATGCGCTTGTGAGAGCAGAAAGAAATTCAGCGATGGTGCGACCATCTCCGGAGAGCTATAGACAGGAGCTCCGGATGCTCACGAACCTCTGTCTTGCGCTTCTGCAAAGGACTAGGCACTGGGCAACGGACGACCATGCACAAGGGCTCGTGTGGTGCTGAAGCTTAGAGGCTTGGGTTGGAAAGCCTGTGTAAAGACCCCTGCGCTGGCCGTCCTGTGTGTGAGGAGGCAGCAGCCTGTACACAAGAACCCACTACGGGTTTGCAGGGTCAGTGTTTGGGAAAGTAGCAGTGACGCATGCGCCCCAATATCCGCGCGGCTCTGAAACAGCCCTCGCGACAGCTCCCCACTTCACATGTTTGGTGCAACTTGGGAGCTAAAGGGGATTTGGCCGGGTTTCGCTGAGGCCCTGGTCGGCTACAGAGCATCTTGAATCATGCGCTCCGATGACCTGCGATGGCTTTGTGGCTGTAGGCAGTGGGTGCAAAGCGAGCAGCGGAGATTGGAGATCCTAGCTTGCCTGCTTGCCTCTGGTCACCAAATCAGCTTACACAACTATCCTGGGCCTGACTAGACCCTCCATGTACCCTCTATTAGACCCTAAGTGTCCATTATTTGGGGCCATATACCCCTATTTGAGGGCACAAGGAGGGTCCTGTTGACTAGGAAGCCTGTAAATGACGATAGAAGCGGAAGCGACACCGCGGCCCAAGGTACCAGGGGCTCGCTAGGTGCCGTGCGGGGCTGTTGCCTCTTTTCAGGCGAGACCGGTGGTGCCAGGGTGCGAGGCTTGGTGTAGTATGTAACCTTGACCCGTTTGCAAAGTACAAGCTAAGGCTAGCTAGCATCAAATAGCAACGTGGCAGGGAAAGCTTCGGCAAGGATGCGGATGTGGTTTCCACCAAGCTGTTTCTTGATGCAACTCATGCTGGCAGCTCTGGCGCTGCAGCGGCAGGCACATGGCCGAGAGGAACATGGGAACATGCATGCAAAGCGCAGCGCACGCATGGCCATGGCCGTCGCAAGCTCCAGCGCTTCAGGAGCTTGGACACTCGCTGTACGGGACCTGCAAGGCAGCGAATCTTCGACGCCCCAGCGTAGCCACGTGCATCCACCAGAAGGACGAGATTCAAGCTATCGCGGCTACAACGGAGAGACCGCTGCGAACGGCGGGCTGGTGCACACAGTGCCAGCTCTCTCAAGTTTCAAGCCTTCGGTCGACACGAGCTTCGTAGAGGGCCTCCTGGCACAGGCCTGGAAGAGCCTACAGCATCTTTCTATAGAGGCCCTTATGACACGGATCCCTTAGCAAGGACCTCCATGAGGACTGCACGTTGCTTGGGAGCAGCTCCTTTCGGGGTGGAGACTCGGGCGAGCGCCAAGCACGGCCTGGTCACACAATGACTCACAGCTCAAGGAGACTCTGACACAAACGACGCGACTTTCCAGGAAACTTCTGGCAAAAGAGGCAGGCGATAATAGCACCGGGAACTGGCTGTCCAAAGCAGAAGAGGAGCAGCTTGCTTCTGGAGCCTTGCTGCACAGGATTTTAAGGCCTCTTCATCATTGGTCCTTTAGTCGCACTCAGGGACGTGGAAGACTTCCCAAAACAAGAGGGGCAAGCTCAGGGGCCCGAGACACCCACCCTGCCCTTTGCACAGAGCTCCATTCACTCTCGGAGATCTAGAAGCCTACCGGGGCCTGTGTGGGTAGGAAGTAGGGTACAGAAACGAGGATTCCTGAACTCTTCGCCTCAGGACTGGTCGAATCCTCGACATTCCTGAGCGGCCTCTGAGATTCAGCCTTGGGTACGTGGCGGAGCAGAACAAGCAAGGCTCCGCTTCAAAGACGGGCAAAAGGGATATCACGGCTGGGTGGAGGAAGGCCTAGCACCGACTTGACACTTGGATCCCGAGCACGGTGGCAGCCTCTCTGTGGAAGCCTGTGGACGCTCT